AAATACCAAGTCCTCTCATCTGTCCTCCCTTTCCCAACCCCATTATCCCCACTATTATTACCATCACTATCTCAGCTGCACCCACGCCACATGTCTTCTGAATAGGTGAAGTATTGCTGTAGTAATAGTAAATATCTATTTAAAAAAATGTTGTTTATACTCCCAACTAAAGCCATGCTGAGGATTAAATATTCAATGTGACAGCTAAAACATAAAATAAAAAAAAAAGAAATCTACAATTAGTGGTCATATTATTGCCTAAACTGAAGAAACAAAAACCATCTTAGGTAGTAATGAAAACCGATTTGCCTTGTTTAAAAAATGAATTTATCAATACAATTACAGCCAAGAAAACTTAAAATAGTTCCAGAAATGTAACCTGAAGTGCTGATGACTAAATGAGGGAAGTAAGTTGTAAAGTGCAACTTGGTTTGGTGGTGCAGTGGCCAGGAGGATATTTGAACCTGAATCTCTGGACTCTTGGACATTATGCTCTGCTGCTGAACTCCGGACAGGTACATTCCAAACTTCACTGATAAGAAGAGCCTGGGATGCTTGAAAACAAAACTGTTCCTGGGCCACACTATTGGATCAGTTTCCAGGGGACAAGCCTAGTAACCTGTACACTTAATAAGCCATCAAAAATGTTCTTACCATTCCAACAGCATGTACTCGCTTCATGTAAAAAAAAAAGATAAAAAAGTAAAAGAATAAAAAAAAATGTTCTTATCATTGGAAAATTTGATGGAACGACTGACTACCTAGATGTAGGATCTGAAACCTCAGGGGCATTTTCTTCTTATTAAGAGATTGTTATTGATGTCAATTAACTTCACATGTATATTAGTTACCCCACATGGAAAATGTTACTATTGATCCTTTCTGGAGAGTCATCTTCCTTATCAAGCCATCCCTGACTGGTATACATGCCCACAGTTGGGTGACTTTCTCTGGTTCCTCTTCTATCCTTGCTACCACTATCTTAAAGTGGAGAGCTTTAAGATAGTGAGGTGTTTATAATCACTCAGGCTAACAATTCTTTGTTGTGGGGGGCTGTCCTGCGCATTATAGGATATCCCTGCTTCTACTCACTAGATACCATTAGCATCCCCTGCACCAGCTGTGACAACCAAAAGTGTCACCGCAAAATGTCCATAGGGGGGCAAAGTTGCCCCAAGTTAAGAAGCACTAACCTAACTTGTCTCTGATTTCAGTGTAGCCATCCTCTAATCCAACCTCTAATTCCAGAGTTCTAAGCCTTGCTACTCAAGTGTAGTCCTTGGACTGCCAGCATTGGCCATCACCTGGGAGCTTGTTAGAAAATAATTCAGGCCCAACCCAAGATTTACTGAAATTAGGCTCTCCATGTTTAACAAGATTAACAATCCCAGGTGATTTCTATGCTCATTTAAGTTTGAATAGCACTGCCAGAAGGTCTCTAACTTGCTCCAGGGTAAATATCACTTGGAATGAAGGTTAATGAAACAAAATTCCTGGGTCCTTTCCCTGGAGATTATGATTCCATTGGTCAAGGGTGGAGACTACAAATTTGTATTGTTAATATGTCTCAGATAATCATTGTCCTTGGTCAAATTAGGGAACTGCAGCTTCAAAATAAACAACAGATTTTGTCATAATCTATTTAAAATTAAAACCTCTTCAGTGGCTTTCCATGGCCTATAGCAGTGGTTCTCAGCCTTAGGTGTTCCTGTGGGGACTATTTAAAAATCCTGATGCCTAGCTAGCTCCTAAATCAATTAAATCAGAAATCTCTGGGGGAAGAAGGATCCATGCATTGATGTATTTTTTTTTTTTTTTAGAGCTCCCCAGTTGCAGCCAACACTGAGAAACACTGAAAATCATCAAGCCTAAACTTCTTAACCTGGCTTTAAAAGCTCAATTATAAAAGTCCCCTGTCTTTCTAACTTTACTTTTTTTTTTTCTTTTTTCTCCCTATGGGAGAGATCTAGTTTTACTTTCTTTCTTTTTTTTTTTTTTTTGAGACAGAGTCTTGCTCTGTTGCCCAAGCTAGTGTTCTGCTGTCAGCCTAGTTCACAGCAACCTCCAACTCCTGGGCTCAAGCAATCCTGATGCCTCAGCCTCTCGAGTAGCTGGGACTACAGGCATGCACCACCATGCCCGGCTAATTTTTGCTATATATTTTTAGTTGGCCAATTTATTTCTATTTATAGTAGAGATGGAGTCTCGCTCTTGCTCAGGCTGATCTCGAACTTCACACCTTGAGCGATCCACCGGCCTCGGCCTCCCAGAGTGCTAGGATCACAGGGGTGAGCCACCATGCCCGGCCTAGTTTTACTTTCTATCATACTTTTGCATATGCACACTACACTTCAGCCTTACTAAATTACCTGAATTCTTAATCCCATAGTACTTTCATGTTTCTGGGTCTTTCTACAGACTTGTCTACAGACAGTGTTCTTTTGTCTTGAATACTTTTACTGTCCTGGCAGTTATTCATCCATAAGGACTAAATAACCTCTGTTTTAGAGGTTTCCCTGTCACACCCAGGCAGAGTGAATCACTCTCTTCTCTATGCTAATACCACTCATCTTGGTGCAGAGCTGTATTACTATACCTATCACATTATATTAATGGGCTACAAATATTATATCTTGAGAATAGGAACTATGGTTCATCTTTATATCCCTAGCACCTAGTAGAGGACCAGGCACAGAGCAAACAACCAATAAATGCTTGTTGACTTAGTGGAAGCACTCAAAAGGAACAAAATTAAAACAAGCAGGAGGATTATCTTTTCTTAAAAATGTGATTCAATATAATTTAACCACATTAAAATCTTAATTAGAAAATAATGTTTGAGCCATGGATCACATGGGAGAGAAATACACCTGAAAGCACTCCTAAGAGAAAAATAGAGCCTTTTCCTTAATGCAGTATAACTTGGTCCACATATTTATTCCAAGGCCTTTAAATAATCCAGTTTCTTTTTCTTTCTTTTTCGAGATAGGGTCTTGCTCTCTTGCCCAGGCTAGATTGCAGTAGAATCATCATAGCTCACTGCAACCTCAAACTCCTGGACTCAAGTGATCCTCCTGTCTCATGAGCTTTCCAAGCAACTAGGACTACAGGTACATGCCACCATGGCCAGCTAATTTTTCTATTTTTTGTAGAGACAAGAGTCTCACTCTTGCTCAGGCTGGTCTTGAACTCCTGGTCTCAAATGATCCTCCTGCCTTGGCCTCCCAAAGTGTTAGGATTACAGGCGTGAGCCACTGTGCCCAGGCTAATCCTGTTTATATGTATGTACCTAAGGGTTTTTAAAAAAATTAAAGTGAAATTCATATAACATAAAATTAATCACTTTAAAGTGTACAGTTCAGTGGCATTTAGTAAATTCACAATGTTATGCAACTACCACCCACATCAAGTTCCAAAATAGTTTTCACCAACTACCCCACCAAAAAAAAAAAAACTCTGCACCCATTAGCAGTTACGTTCTATTCTCCCACTAGAAACCACAGGAGCATCAACTTTTAAGTTATACTAAGGAATTTAAAAGATATAAAATAGATATTTAAAAAGACATAGAGTTTAAATGACTGTGTAATTACTTCTGTCATACAAAAAAGAGCAAAAGTATAGTTTCATTAACAATCTCAAAAATTCAATTTTTTATTAACTATTTTATGTACATTGATACCAAGTCCTAAAAACTAATAAAAACATGTCTAGAGTTTCTTAGTCAATGTACAAATGCTCATTTATATTTTGCACATTAAAAATGGAGATAAAAATGATACAATAGTTATAGCTACATAAAAATATGTACAAGGATTCAAGACAAACTTTACTTTTTTTTTTAAGAGACAGTGCCTTACTCTGCCACCCAGGCTACAGTGCAACGGTACAATCATAACTCACTGCAGCCTTGCATTCCTGAGTTCAGGCAATCCTGCCTCAGCCTCCCAAGTAGCTAGGACTACAAGCGCACACAACCACCCCCAGCGAATTATTTTTAGAGATGGGGTTCTGGCTATGTTGCACAGGCTGGTCTCAAACTCAACTCTTGGCCTGAAGCAATCCTCTTGCTTTGGCCTGCCAAAGTAGTGGGATTATAGACATGAGCCATCATGCTTGGCATAGACTTTTTTTATGTGATTTGGCTTATAACAATGTGTAGATACTACACAAAGAATGAGGATGTAATTTTCAGTTAAGTAAAATGTGACCAAAATCCCTTTTCTTCTTAAAATTGAAAAATAAAATTCCTGACAATATTAATTGCTAATTGGCAGCCAAATCTTAGACTATTTCAAATTAGCCATGGTTAGACACAGGTAAGGTAAATATTATACCTTTTAAAAATAAGGTTTTTTATAAATCTTCTCAAAATTAGCGAAGAATGGCTTACCCACGTCCTTCCAGTTTCTAGAAACACATTAGAAAAAAGTGAATGATGAAGAGCTGATCCTTTGGAGAGCTGTCTCCCTACTGAAAAACATCTTCAGGGAGACCCAGTGGTCAAACTCTAATGGGAAACTTATGATGCACTAATAATACTGAGAACAAAGAGGGGGGGAATAGAAAGTAGTTATTTTATTGATGTATATTAGAATTGTAAGGCATGAGGTGATTTTAATGAGGCTTTAAAAACAGGTTTCAGATATTCTTAGGGAATCAATTAGACATTGAGAATGATCTTATGATGGCCTCAAAAACAGTATATCACACATTTTCATGGTGCTACCTTACTAATAGGAAATTCAGTTTCTTTTTCTTTTTTTTTGAGACAGAGTCTCACTCTGTTGCCCCGGCTAGAGTGTTGTGGCGTCAGCCTAGCTCACAGCAACCTCAAACTCCTGGGCTCAAGTGATCCTTCTGCCTCAGCCTTCCAAGTAACTGGGACTACAGACATGTGCCACCATGCCTGGCTAAATTTTTCTATATATTTTTAGTTGGCCAATTAATTTCTTTCTATTTTTAGTAGAGACAGGATCTCACTTTTGTTCAGGCTGGTCTTGAACTCCTGAGCTCAAAGGATCCACCTGCCTCAGCTTCCCAGAGTGTTAGGATTACAGGCGTGAGCCACGGCGCTCAGCCCAGGAAATTCAGTTTCTAATGTATTCTGAAGTTTATTCTACTGGCTTGAGAAGCAGCTTTGTATTTGAGAATTACATGACTTACTACAATCATGTAATTAAGTTAATGTCATGAAAAACAAAATTATAGTAGTTTAAAAAAGAAGTACCCCTTTTATTGGGTTGTGACACCAAGCTAAGAGAGCTCACGGTTGGAAAGCAAGTAATGGGGATAGCACAGAGGCTTAGGCACAAATCTGCTTATGCTCAAGGACAGGAAGGACACAAGAAGGGATCAAATAACCCAGAAGAGTAGTGGCACCTGGATACAGAGTTACCACAGTGGGCCAGAGAGGCTGGTGCATCATCTTCTGGCCCAGGTACTATGAGAACCAACCCTTACCTTCAATATTAAATTGAAAATACAAATATCTCATAGCATGCTTAACAAAAATAGATTACCCTCATATTACAAAGCACATGAGGAATCATTTGATTATTTTTAAATGACAGCTAAAAAGTTATGGGGTTCCCCTTACTTTATCTTAATAACTAACCCAAGAAACAGTTAAAAAATTCTATGACTATCAGTACTTCTAAAAGGTACTTAAAATATTCCTTTCCAACCTAACTCAAAAAACATTTCTGTCAACTACATTTTGGATAAATGTAAAAAAAAAAAAAAGCACATAATTTTGGTGTACTTTTTCTTATAACCCAGTGATATTTACCATCTATAGGGCTGAAAGATGTGAAGGACAGAGCCCCAACTTTCTGCAGAACAAACTAAAAGTGCTTTTATCATAGAAACAGGAATGACATTAATGATTTGCTCTTTCACTGACAACATCCTGTAGGCGTTTAAGTAAAACATCATCATTTTCTTGGCAGAGGCGTTTGGCAGGTGATTCTGCATCACTATCGATGGCTATTACTCGCTTCTTGGTTCTCTGCTCACCTTGCCTTATCATGTTGTTGATATCTTTCAAACTCTGTGCAAAAACAGAGGACATGTGTTAGTAAAAGAAGGTGTGGAGAGGGAAACAGTAGCAAAGAACCAAGCTAACTGCATTTTCCTGTCCTCTATCATCTATCCAAATCTAAACACTGGAGTAGATTATATTTTGAATTTAGACCAATTTAAAAAGGATGGCTAGAACTAATATTTTCAGGTGGCTTAAAACATTGGATTTACCTTGTAACAGTAGTTCTTAGTGTAGTCCCCAGACAAGAAGCATGTAGGAACTAATTAAAAATATATATTCCCAAGACTCACCCTAAACCTACTGAAATCAACATTCTGGAGTAGAGCCCAGCAATCTATGTTTTAATATCCCCTCCAGCTGATTCTGATGTTTCCTAAAGTTTGAGATCCTTTACTTCAGAGTAATGTTTTTTAATATTTTTTTTTTGAGACAGAGTCTCACTCTGTTGCCCAGGGTAGAGAGTGCAGTGGCATCATCAAAGCTCACTGCAACCTTAAACTCCTGGGCTGGAGTGATCCTCCTGCCTTAGCCTCCCAAGTAGCTGGGACTACAGGCATGTGCCACCACACTTGGCTGATTTTTTTCTATTTTTGGTAGAGATAGCATCTTGCTCCTGCTCAGGCTGGTCTTAAACTCTCAAGGGATCCTCCCACATGGGCTTCCCAGAGTGCTAGGATTATAGGCATGAGCCATCACACCTGGTGGAGATTCTGTGTTTCTAACAAGCTCTCAGAGGAGAAGTTCCTGAAATCTGCATCACAAACATCTATGGAGCTTGTTTTAATTAGTCTCAGGCCTACCTGGTAGTGATTTGGATTCAATAGGTCTGTGGGACAGGTATCTGTTCAACAAGCTCAACAGGTGGTTCTGACTCATGGTTTCAGAATCACTACCTTAAAAGTCAACTGGTCTAATCTTTTATTTCATGCAAGAATCTCTTCTAAACATTTTTACAGGAAATCAATTTCTATAAAAGAGGAAAAATAAACCTGGTATATATATCTTAGTGAACCTTGTTTGTCAAGTACAGTAAGAACTCAATAGGTGTTTGTGGAACTGAATAGGAAACTAGTAAGTTCAGGACCTGTCCTTGTATTTGAACTGAGTTACAATCTGCCCCCCTACAATTTCTTTCAGTTGATACTGATTCTGGTTTCTGGAGACATACTGAACTTATCTGCTTGATAGTCCTTGAAATATCTGAAAACAGTAATCATGTCTACGTCACATCTTCATTACTATACAGAGATAAGATAGAGACAACCACAGAGTTGTCTATGTACATAAGAGGAGGCCTCTGTTTCCAGACTTTTCACTATCCTTCTTGCTATGTACTAATGCACTTTCACTTCAAAGGCTTTTCTTTAAATTTAACAGTCCCCATGTCTGACCATTTGCAGGTGTTGCCTTATGGGGCCCTTCTCAAGATCATGCTTGAACAGGGAGACACACTGGACTCTTGATGTGAACTCCCCAAATTTATCAATAGTAATGGATTAAACTACTTCAACTGAACTGAATATATTGCTCTACTTTTTTTTTTTTTTTTTTTTAGCACAAGAAGTTAAACAACTTGCCCATGAATATACTGCTATAGATCACAGGAAATGTGCTAGCGTTAACAGTTCATATTTTATCAGTACAGGAGTAATTTGGCAAAAAAAAAAAAAAAAAAGGCCAGATTAATGATTATTAATTGGTAATCTGAAATCCAACTTTTAACATATGTATCTATATAAGTTGTTTTGGAGTAAAGCCTGTATGTACCTTACCTTAGAAGGGCTGCCATTGAACTTGTACAGCAGAGCACTTCTTGGTGTAAGGCCTGACCCATTCTTGTGCGGGGAAACATAAATGGAGTGTTGTTGGGAAATGCGGCGTGGTGAGCCTGGCTGTTGCTTAATATGTGGAAAAGGAGAGAGTGGTGGAGCATCCATCTAAAACAACCCAAAAGTCAGATTTTTAAGATAAAAGTTTTTGTTTTTTGAATCCCACCATATTTTTATTGTTATGGCATGTCCTAGTTAGGAGTTAGTTATACTATAAGAGATTATTTATAGCTAAAAAGTACAAGAAAAATGTACAAAGAAATGTACAAGTACAAAGAAATGGTTCATTACACCTTTTTTTGTTGTTGTTGTTTGTTTTTTTAACAATTATTAACAGATAAAGTAGAACTTATTTTCCTGGAACTTTCAGGAAATCCTGTAACTAGTATTAAGAATTCTGGGCAAGGCCGGGCGTGGTGACTCACGCCTGTAATCCTAGCATGCTGGGAGGCTGAGGCAGGTGGATTGCTCGAGGTCAGGAGTTCGAAACCAGCCTGAGCAAGAGTGAGACCCCGTCTTTACTATAAATAGAAACAAATTAATTGGCCAACTAATATATATATATAAAAAATCAGCCGGGCATGGTGCTACATGCCTGTAGTCCTAGCTACTCGGGAGGCTGAGGCAGTAGGATTGCTTGAGCCCAGGAGTTTGAGGTTAATGTGAGCTAGGCTGATACCACAGCACTCACTCTAGCCTGGGCAACAAAGTGAGACTCTGTCTCAAAAAAAAAAAAAAAAAATAATAATTCTGGGCAAGACATTAGGAGTGGTAAGAAAGTACTGGTTACAAAGTAGGGACAAAAAATAATAAACATTCTAATACTTGCAATAAGAAAGTCTCTACACTCATAAATACCCACGACCAAAACAGTAACAGAATGAATAAAAGAGAGGCAGGGAATTCTGGGAAAGACACAGAAATGCAAAAGATTTAGATATAAATTACGTGAGCAAGGATTTCATTTTTCTTTAATATTCTGTGCAACAGAAATAAATAGAGATGGTTCCTTAATTAATATTTCTTTCTTTTTTGCTTTTCTGAGATAGGGTCTCACTGTATTGCCCAGGCTAGAGTATAGTGGCCTCATCATAGCTCAATGCAACCTTGTACTCCTGGGCTCAAGTGATCTTCCTGCCTCAGCCTCCTGAGTAGCTGGGACTACAGGCAAGTGCCACCATGCCCGGCTAGTTTTTTTCTATTTTTTATAGGGACAGGGTCTTGATCTTGCTCAGGCTAGTCTCAAACTCTTGATTTCTAGCGAGACTCCTGTCTTGGCCTCCCAAAGTGCTAGGATTATAAGTGTGAGCCATCATGCCTGGCCTTATCTAATATTTCACTCATCATCTTCATCTGAAGCTAATACAACTAGTTTTAGTTGGCGGATGATAAAGATATTCATAGCACAGGATGTGACGGAGATGAGGCAGAACTGATGGAACAGGATGAACAGTTATGGTCTATGACTATCCTCACAACATGCTACTGGCTGGCTGGCTGCAGCTTCTACTAGGGCCCTCTTTCTTATAGCTAAAGGCTGGTATCCTGGTAACCAACCTCAGTTTATACACTGGTAACACTTTTTCAGGTCTGCTGCTACTGCCAAAACTAGGGACTGTATAAAAATTTCTTAGTGTTGCCTCTATTAATAATCTAGGCCTAGTTACTTTTATCCTTTTCTCTTTATCTTGAGAAAAACATTTATCTTCCATAATATGACAAGAGAAACCAAAACAAAAATTACCCAAATTGTTTTAATATTTCCATGTTCCCATCTAGTCCTTACCCATATGAGTATATAATTTCTAGCAACATAATCACAGTATAGATAAAATTTCCATGATTCCCACTGGTCTCTGCTGTATTATAGTCTTAATCATTCTGATTAAGTTATTAGTCATTCTCTGATAAACTGATAATACATTTTCTCTTATGTAATGCATCAGTGAGGCTTTAAACTCTGAAATATTTAGCAAAAATAAACTCATAGTAACACAATATTAATAAAGTAGTAAAACATGAAACATACCACATGGTCCTGATTTGACAAGTCGTATTTTAATGCAAATGACTTCACTCTTCCTACATATATCATATTGTAAAATTTGATAAGATCACCTCTTTCCTCTTTCCCTGGTCCACTGGAACAGTCAGGTGTTTTTGTAGCATCTTCCAAGACTGTTGAAAAAAATTCAATGTTGTGATAGGTATATTTTAATATATAAGGTAGTGATTGGAATTTCCTCTCTATAGTATTAAAAAAAGCCACAAGTCTTTATGCAAAGCAATTAGTATTTTCAGAGACAGTTCGGAAATCCACCTGTGTTGGCTAGGTGTGGTGGCTCACACCTATAATCCCTAGCACTCTGAGAGGCCACAGTGGGCGAATCGTTTGAGCTCAGGAGTTTGAGATCAGCCTGAGCAAGAGCGAGACCCCCGTTTCTACTAAAAATAATGGAAAGAAATTAGCTGGACAAATAAAAATATTTGGAAAAAAATTAGCTGGGCATGGTGGTGCATGCCTGTAGTTCCAGCTACTCCAGAGACTGAGGCAGGAGGATCGCTTGAGCACAGGAGTTTGAGGTTGCTGTGAGCTAGGCTGATAACACGGCACTCTAGCCCGGGCAACAGAGTGAGACTTTGTCTTAAAAAAAAAAAAAAGAAACATAAATCCACCTGTGGTATTTATAAATCAAATTGGAATCAAGAGAAATACAAACATATGAACTGAAGGTGGTGCTCTTATCTCTAGATACCACTTTAGTAAGAATGTTTTCACAACCATAGCTTTTGAGCTTACTGCCACTGGTGGCCCTTAGAAGAGCACCAGCTCTGGGTTGGTGTTTAGCTAAGTTCCACAGTATGGGTGGCAGCGGTGAACTCTGGCTTTAGATCACAAAAGGGCCTGCAGATATTCTTACTGGCTTTATGAGAAAGGTGGAAAGTCTCTAAAAGGTAAAGCATAACCTCACAGGTTAAGGAAGAAGCAAAATGAGTTGTGTTTATTTCTATGCAAATACATGGCAAAGGTATTCAAAAAGCCTTATTTTCCATGCACAACAGAAACCCTGAGCAGGAACCGGTGTTCAGTTAGAGAGCACCCTCAATTGTAAAATGACAGCTTATCCCTAGGTGCTTTCCTAGTTAACGGGGTTACTCTGGGATAGTTTATGGCACCAACAGAATTTTATCCTACTCTTTTTTTGGGAAGAGTATTACAAACTATTATCTACCTGCATATACAAGAATCATCTGTTTAAAGGAACTATGAAAACCACTGCCAAGTAAAAAGAGTTCAGCATATATAAAAATGTTCTCATTCTCAATACACTGGCCTACAAACATTGAGCACAGTGTTTATAGAAACATGCCTCCACCTTAGGAAAACCAGAAAACTCAAACATGGTCCAAGGGCCAAGTAGCCTAGGGGATTTCCATCCTAATATGAATGTCTTTTTTGCTCTTGCTATTTTTGAAGGATCTTGATTGTGGCAGCAGGGTATTTTTCCAGGGATACTGTGTTATATATACTTCTCATTGCCTTAAAAAAGCTCAGGAATATTATATCTATGTAAAAAGAATTGAGTTTGGTCTATGTGTCCTTAAATGGGATCAGATTACCATTAAAAGATCTTACTAGGCTGGGCGCGGTGGCTCACGCCTGTAATCCTAGCACTCTGGGAGGCCGAGGCGGGCGGATTGCTCGAGGTCAGGAGTTCGAAACCAGCCTGAGCGAGACCCCGTCTCTACTAAAAATAGAAAGAAATTAATTGACCAACTAAAAATATATATAGAAAAAATTAGCCGGGCATGGTGGCACATGCCTGTAGTCCCAGCTACCTGGGAGGCTGAGGCAGAAGGATCGCTCGAGCCCAGGAGTTTGAGGTTGCTGTGAGCTAGGCTGACGCCACGGCACTCACTCTAGCCTGGGCAACAAAAGTGAGACTCTCTCTCAAAAAAAAAAAAAAAAAAGATCTTACTAAAAGATTATTATTATTATTTTTTTTTTTTTTTTTGAGACAGAGTCTCGCTTTGTTGCCCAGGCTAGAGTGAGTGCCGTGGCGTCAGCCTAGCTCACAGCAACCTCAAACTCCTGGGCTCGAGCGATCCTTCTGCCTCAGCCTCCCTGGTAGCTGGGACTACAGGCATGTGCCACCATGCCCGGCTAATTTTTTTTTTATATATATATCCGTTGGCCAATTGATTTCTTTCTATTTATAGTAGAGACGGGGTCTCGCTCTTGCTCAGGCTGGTTTTGAACTCCTGACCTTGAGCAATCCGCCCGCCTCGGCCTCCCAAGAGCTAGGATTACAGGCGTGAGCCACAGCGCCCGGCCTATTAAAAAGATTATTAAAAGATCTTTTTGGTGAATGAGATCGTAAAAGTTTAGATCCCAGTAGACACTATCATGATCATGGATATTTGTGTAATCAAAAAATTACTTTTAGCTGGGTGTGGTGGCACATGCCTATAATCACGGCTACTCAGGAGGCTGAGGCAGGACTGCTTGAGCCCAGGAGTTTGAGGTTGTTGTGAGCTCTACGGATGCCAGTGTACTCTAGGCCAGGCAACAGAGAAAGACCTTGTCTCAAAAAAAAAAAAAAAAAAAAAGAAAAAAAGTTTTGGGCGGGGCGCAGTGCCTCATGCCTGTAATCCTAGCACTCTGGGAGGCCAAGGCAGGCGGATCACTCAAGGTCAGGAGTTCAAAACTAGCCTGAGCAAGATGGAGACCCCCATCTCTACTATAAATAGAAAGAAATTAATTGGCAAACTAAAAACATATATATAAAAAATTAAGGGGATTGGACTTATGGGGGGGGGAGGAAGGGGGTAGGGGCAACATTTGTAACCCTAACAATATTTGTACGTCCATAATATGATGAAATAAAAGAAAAAAAAAAAAAGAAAGAAAGAAAAACTACTGCCAATTAAACTGTGAAAAAAAAAAAATTAGCCAGGCATGGTGGCGCATGCCTATAGTCCCAGCTACTCAAGAGGCTGAGGCAGGAGGATCGCTTGAGCCCAGGAGTTTGAGGTTGCTGTGAGCTAGGTTAATGCCACTGCACTCTAGCCCAGGCAACAAAGTGAGACTCTGTCTCAAGAAAAAAAAAAAAGAAAAAGTTTTGACCCAGCCAATTTTCTCTAAGAATTTATCCTAAGGATGTGGACCAAAGATTAAGCTACAATGATGTTCATCACAAAGCTGTGTATAAATGGAAACTACCTTAATGTCCCACATTACAGGATTAAATAAATCACAGTACATATATAGACATGTATTTATTATATGTACTTTAAATACATAGAAAAATGAGACAAAGAAAAGGAGATGTGCAGAAGAGGAACATGAATATTAACTATTTGATTTTCCTTTCCTTTTGTGGTAGCAGAATCACTTACATACTTATTATGAACAGCACATTTCCTTAATTGTCTCCTCAGGAAGATCACTGACAGCTACCTTGTGTTCCCTGTTATTGAGATTTATGAATTTTATTAAGTGTCTTTTATGTGTTTTATTAACATGCATAAATAGACTAGAACATTTCCAAAATGCAATTAACAAAGGACAAGTAATTGGTTTCTATACACTATACCTGCCCATCCTTATCTCAAACTTCATCCTTTCAAAACATGTACATTGCCCACCCCACCTATATCATGACTCCTATTTCCAAGTTGCCCAACACTCACTATATTATGTACAATGTAATCAAAGGTCTTTTACATATAGCATGTTAAATTGGATAACTTACCACAATCTATCATTTCAAAATCACCATTTATGTTTTTATTGTATGCCACAACTTCTCTTGGGATACTTCTCAACAGAACACTTCTGTATACCTACAGGCCAGAGGGGGAAAAAAAGGATTGCTAAGTCACAAAGAAGCACAAGTTAAGCAAAATCAAAATGAAAAGAACAAAATATCAAGCCAATTAAAAAATATTTATAAATGATAATCAAGGGTTAAGATATTATTGGCTCTGATAAGTGTAGAATGTTAGTTTACAAAACAGAAGAAGAATTAAGTAGCAACTAAAGATGACCGGTAACTTTTGTCAAAGAAAATCAACCTCAAAGATCTGAACTTGTTCCTCCTTCCTTTTAATTCCTTACACAAGAATCATTTGGTCTCAACAGGGCTTGTTTTCCTGTCCCCAGCCCATTCCCACTCCTTTTAGATGGCCACATGATTTTTTTTTTTTTTTTTGAGACAGAGTCTCACTTTGTTATCCAGGATAGAGTGAGTGCTGTGGTGCAGCCTAGCTCACAGCAACCTCAAACTCCTGGGCTCAAGCAATCCTGCTGCCTCAGCCTCCTGAGTAGCTGGGACTACAGGCATGCGCCACCATGCCCGGCTAATTTTTTTCTATATATATATATTAGTTGGCCAATTAATTTCTTTCTATTTATAGTAGAGACGGGGTCTTGCTCTTGCTCAGGCTGGTTTCAAACTCCTGACCTCCTGCAATCCACCCGCCTCGGCCTCCCAGAGTGCTCGGATTACAGGTGTGAGCCACCGTGCCCGGCCTAGATGGCCACATGATCTTTAAGGACAATCTGGACCGCTATAGGTTTTGTTCCTGATGATTTTTCCTGAAGAGGCCCAGAAACTCTTATCTTGTCACAGGATATAACAAATGTCTATACTTCATACCATGTTGCTCAATATCAGTGTATTTTGGGGGCTTAAGTAAAGAATTGAATCCATTTGTAGGGCTCTCTTAAAAGGGAGCATGACTACCAGTACTGGTCCCCACCTCTCTCTTTTTCTATGATCTCCAGGGCCAGAGAAGAGGCCATTATACTCCCTACAAGCAGAGCAACTAGGTTCGTGATGGTCAAACTCTTAATGTAACCTACTTTTGTTCTTCGGCTATAATAACAACAATAAGAACATCTCTACTAAAAATAGAAAAATTAGCCGGGTGTGAGGCTTTGCCTGTGGTCTCAGCTGCTCTGGAGGCTAAGGCAGAAGGATTACTTGAGCCTAGGAGTTTGAGGTTGCTGTGAGCTAAGCTGATGCCACGGCACTCTAGCCTGAGTGACAGAGCAAGACTCTGTCTCGGAAACAAAAAACACACAATATAAAGTTAACATTCAGTAAGGTCTGACTATATGCCAGGCCACTAGGCTAACATTTTCCATTTCTATGATTGAATGGTTTTACAGGATTTTCACCACAGCTAGTAGAACAAAATGATCAGAAAGGCTTCACATCTATTTAAAGATGAAAACGTTAAGATTCTTACTAGATAATGGCAAGAGAAGCTGGAGTTAAGTTTATAAATCCTCAATTTCCACTGGATTTTTTTTTTTTTTTTTTGAGACAGAGTCTAGCTTTCTTGCCCAGTCTAGAGTGAGTGCCGTGGCATCAGCCTAGCTCACAGCAACCTCAATCTCCTGGGCTCAAGCAATCCTACTGCCTCAGCCTCCCGAGTAGCTGGGACTACAGGCATGCGCCACCATGCCTGGCTAACTTTTTGTATATATATTTTTAGTTGGTCAATTAATTTCTCTCTATTTTTAGTAGAGACAGGGTCTTGCTCAGGTTGGTTTCAAACTCCTGGCCTCGAGCAATCTGCCCGCCTTGGCCTCTCAGAGTGCTAGGATTACAGGCTCACGCTCGGCCTCCACTGGATTTAAATACCATCAGAGAATCAAGTCTTATATAATTAAAGAGTATTATTACTATTATACATATCTTTCATTAGATTTTTCAAGTGAAAAATGTCTCCACTCAACAAATGAACAAATGAAATTTCAGAACTTGTAAGAAGTATATGCAAGTATATGGATGAGTCAGAAACAGCAAGATTTCCTGGCTTCTATTGAAACTCTTCTTTAATGAAGCTGTCTCTTGAGTTTAATGGTATCTATTAAACCAGAAAATCTAAAGCATAATAAAATTATAAAAGAAGTTTACCTTTTATATGACTTGTCAGTGGAGAAACAGAACAAATCTATTTTTGGACAGTAGGAAAAATAATCTAACTCACGTGACTATTAGCTTGGGGCTGATTCCTATAACTTTTCATTATTTCTTGAAAAGTTCTTTCTTCTTTTGTTACCTAAGGAAAATAAAAACTGCATTTATCAACTGCTTTTGAAAGAAAAATGGCTCTGAACAAAAACTTCAATTATAGGTTGGCATTGAGAGCAGCCTTGTAGAAAGCCATTAACCCGAGGCCAGTCCATGACTAAAAACCACTAACATTTATGATTTTTACTACCTTTAAAGTTCAGGCTTTGTGGCCTGTGGGGACTTAGTTAATAGTTTCATTAATCAAAAAGTACTGAAATTGCTATGGTGTGACTCTACTGAAAATGTATTTCTTCATAAAAAAAAAAAGATACAAGAAAACCCAGATCTGTTGAATCCCCTGCAGTCTCCAGTTTTATTAGTTTAAAGTACTTATTTAAAAGTAAATTAGCCACATACTGAAGGACAGAAAATGTCTTGCGGTGATTCACAATAAAACTAAATGGTTATTATAGGATTAGGTTTTAACATTTCAGGATAGACTGTAGGTTTCTAATGCTTAGACAGAAGTCACAGCAGTGGCCAAAAGGAAGAACACGGATTAGTGATCCAAAAAGGAATTCTTCTGGTTTCTCTTTTATAATAAAGTTCACTTAAATTACAACTTTACCCTGCTTCACTGTCCATTAGCTCTAAACCTGTTGTCTATAATGATGAGCTAGAAATGGCAAACTCTGAACTCTGACAGTTTTCTGGAAAACACAAATGATTACTTAGTAACATTTATTGAGACCTATTTTTTATAGAGATTTTAAGGAGGCATTATAGGAGGAGGGTGACAAAGGAGTTTGAAAACATGTCCTGTTTCAAAAAGCTAAAATTTAGGTCTTAATTGTATGTATCCGCTAGGACTGCCAGTGTGGCCAATATGGTCAAGACAAAAGTTATAAATGATGGTTTCAGATATATTAGAATTTAAAAAATCAAGCAAGAAATGTTATTTTATGACTTATAACATGTTGTAGCAACTAGAAAGTAAAATGGTCTTCTGAGGCAGCACAATAAATCACTGGAAAGCAATATGATATAGAAGCTTATACCAGACTATGATTCAGGAGATTCTAGATTGTCCCTTGCTGTGTAAACTTTGGACAAGTTACTTTCAGGCCTAGGCCTCAGTTACTAACCTACATTGTGAAGATCATTTTACTTTAAAGTACCAAATCAGAGGTATCCTGGGGTAAGAATGGAAATGGTGCTGTTCACATTAATAGTATGAAAAGCCATTTTACTATAAATGGTCTCTAAGATCTTTCTCAACTCCTTTACAACCAATATATTCTTATGAAGTGGAAAAGCTGATTATTATAAAATTAACTGGAGAGTTCAGAGAATACATGCAGTAGCTTGAATTTACTACTTAATTAAGAATAGTGGGCACTGTTGTCTTACAGCACTAAAGGAAAGCTAAGCTAACAGATTATTATTACCTCATGCTTCAAATATAGGCAAGTAGAGCAAAGACCTCCCCCAACTTATCCATTACCTTTGCCATGATATAAAAGGCACAAAGGAGGAGCTGGTCCAAATGCCTGTCTTTCATTAGGTCAGGGCAGTGAACTAAAGTGAATTCAAAGCATGTCCATATCTTTCTTCGTAACTCATTTGAAACATCCAGTTTTAAACATAGATCACGTAAGCGTACACTTGCCAAATGATACACCTAAGATGGAAGATAACACATTGATGCAAAACATCTAGTAAATCGTTTCTCAAATTTTTATGTCTTATCATGAACACTGGCTTTCAGGCCAAGATTAAAATATATGCGGGCTGTCGATATATTAAAATAAGTAAAATTTCTATTCTACAGCAATAGTTCATTGGTAAGGCAGGAAAATATAGATTAAAGCAAAATTCTCTTTGGAAAACTACTTTAAAAAATTTTTTAAAAAGGATGTCCCCTGTTACTCTATTCTGCCAACTATGTAAAGTAAGAAACACTAAAATGCAGGATTTACCTACATCATGACCATTATGAATGCATAATTTTTCAAAAGTGTTCAGAAGTCTCTATTTGTTCTCTTTGGGTTCAGGTAAAATTGCTAGGAAACCTAATATGCCAGATAATAAAAAACTAAAACATGTGATTCTAAAAAGGAGTCAAAAAGCAAAATGAGGCCAGGTGTGATGGCTCACACCTATCTATAATCCTAGCACTCTGGGACACCAAGGTGGGAGAATTGCTCGAGCCTAGGAGTTCAAGACCAGCTTGAGCAAGAGAGAGACCCCATCTCTACAAAAAACAAAAATATTAGCTGGGCATGTTGGCACATGCCAGTAGTCCCAGCTACTTGGGAGGCTGAGGCAGGAGGATCAGTGGGCCCTGGAGTTTGAGGTTGCAGTGAGCTATGATGATGCCACTGCAAGCTAGCCTGGGTGACAGAATGAGATTCTTTCTCAAAAACAAAGCAAAACAACTTAAAAAATTTCTTTAATATTCTACACCATTTTTATAAGCATACGAACAACAGGAATGTTAAATGAGACATGAAGTTTGCTGTTTTTTTTTTTTAAAGTACATCACGGTAAATTTAGTTCAATGCCCTGAGCCTTTTATATATACATTTTTCTTTTTTTTTTGAGACAGAGTCTCTGTCACCCAGGCTAGAGTGCCATGGAGTCAGTCTAGCTCACAGCAACCTCAAACTCCTGGGCTCAAGTGATTCTTCTGCCTCACCGTCCCAAGTAGCTGGAACTACAGGCGTGAGCCACCATGCTCAGCTAATTTTTTTGTTTCTATTTTTAATTGTGAAGCTATTTTTTTTCTATTTTTTAGTAGAGATAGGGTCTCACTCTTGCTCAGGCTGGTTTTGAACTCTTCAGCTCAAGAATCCTCCTGCTTCAACCTTCCAGAGTGTTAGGATTACAGGCGTGAGCCACTGCACCTGGCCTATATATATAGTCTCAATATGAATTGATACTAATGCAAATGGCCTTAAGATCCTGCAAGAGTCATTGTTTTAAGAACTGGTAACCATGATGTGGTATTCCTAAGCCAGGCAATTCTGTTCAGACTAAGTCTTTTTTTGTTTTTTCAAACAGAGTCTCCCTCTGTTGCCTGGGCTAGAGTGCCATGGCATCAGCCTAGCTCATAAACTCCTGGGTTCAAGTGATCCTCTTGCCTCAGCCTCCCAAGTAGCTGGGACTACAGGCACGTGCCACCATGCCTGGCTAAATTTTTTCTACTTTTAGTTGTCCAGCAAATTTCTTTCTATTTTAGTAGAGATGGGGTCTCGCTCTTGCTCAGGATGGTCTCAAACTCATGAGCTCAAGCAATCCTCCCGCCTAGGCCTCCCAGAGTGCTAGGATTACGGGCATGAGCTACCGTACCTGGCCCAGACTAAGTCTTTAAATTTAAATGTAGGGGTGGGGGAAAAAAATAAATTTAAATGTTCATAGGAATAATAAAATGAAAGAAAGAAAAAGAAAGAAAGTTATCCCTTACAGAAAATTACTTAGGGCAGGAAAAATATACAAATTGAGCTTAAAAACTAATTTAAGCTATTCAATACACTAATCTGATATTAATATAAAGAGAGACAAGTGGTTGACTCCAAAGCCACCAGTGACTCTTTTTTTTTTTTGAGACTAGGTCTTGCTCTGTTGCCCAAGCTAGAGTGCACTGGGCTCATCAGTACAAAGTTTCAGAATGGGACTATGAAAAAGGTCTAGAGATAGATGGTGGTAATGGCTGCACAAAAATGTGACTGTATGTAATGACGCCAAACTGTACAGTTAAAAATAGTTAAAATGGTAAATTTTATGTAATGTATATTTTACAAAAATTAAAAAATCAAAGGGCAAAGCTGCTCTCTGTTAATCTTTCTTCCTCTGATTAAGTGAACTCTTCTTATGAGACTGACTTGCTGCCTACTGCTATAAAAACACATACCTTTCTGTAAAACAGTGCTAAAGACCCAGTTCTCTTTGGCTTGCTTATTCCAGTTGGATGTACCTCTTGTGCTTTAGTCAGATGGGTCTGTTTTGGAGAAGCAGCAATCAATGACTGAGCAGTAAGTGATACAGGACTCTTGACTTTGGACTCCTGAGTTGTATTCATGGAGACAGGTATCAGTGTGATCTCTCCAGCATCATTTGCAACACCTGAAAGTACAACCAAGAGTTCTCAGTTTTAGAAATAAGCTGGAAGTTCTAGGAGAGTTCTAGGAAATTTGTCAATTTTATACACACACACACATCTGTGTGTATAAGCATAGGAATATGTTAGAGAAAGAGAGGAAGGCTATAAAATGGTAATTCTATTAAGGTTACGACTGAATTCTTCTTTTCTATTTCTTCCCTGAAACAAGAATATGCTGTTTTGTTTTGATACTTTTTATTTTAAAAAGCAAATTTTGTTCTCTTTTGTATGTGCCTGTGATGTTTTAATACTTTGAATTTACTGAGAAAAAGCAAATTTTCTCAGTAAAAGTTTTGTTTTGTTTTGTTTTGAGCACTTAAGGAAATGTACACTAATTGGAAAGCTGAGATACGAAAACAATTACTAACAAAGAGGGTAATGAATTTATAAAATTTGAAAATTCAAAAAACAGGATAGTTTCAAAACAAAACAAAGGGTGGAGCAAGAGGATTTTTAGGGCAGTGAAATTACTACCGTGTTTCCCCGAAAATAAGACAGGGTCTTATATTTATATTTAATAAGACATGGGTCTTAAAAATAAGATAGGGTCTTATATTTATTTTTCCTCCAGAAGACACCCTAGGGCTTATTTTCAGGGGATGTGTTACTCTCTCTGGGCTCAGTAGGAGACTGCTTGCTGAAGCTTTTCCCCTATCCCCTGGTGTTTGCTGGGGGTGAGAGAGGCCCACAGGGCTGAGTAAAATGGCAGCCACAGCTTTCCTTCTTCCCCCTGGGGACACACAATACCTAGAAGGGAGCATCTCGCTCCTCACTTCGCTGAGGAGACTTTCCCCTCAAAGCCTCAGCTTGCAGCACGCACAGGATGGCTGGGACCTGACAAGGGGAGCCGACCTTTCGTTGGTAGGGCTGCCTGCACCTTTCCCTTCACCTCTGGGATAGTAGCTGTCACGATGGGGCAGATGAGAAGGGCTGCTCATCCTCTTTACCGCTCTGTGAGGAAATGCATGGGTTGTACAGATACGCTGCATAGCCATGCCCATCACTAGGTCTTATTTTCAGGTAGGGTTTATATTGTGCAAATGCTTAGAAATCCTGCTAGGGCTTATTTTATGGGTAGGTCTTATTTTCGGCAAAACACGGTACTTTACATGATGTTATAATGGTAGATGCATGTCATTATATTAAATACATTGTCAAAATCCACACCAAGAATAAATCTGTATGTAAACTGTGGGCTTTGGGTGAAAATGAGGTGTCAATATAGGTTCATGGATTGAAACAAATGTAGCACTCTGGTGTGACATATATGTGCATGGGAGAAAGACTATATGGGAAACATCTATACTTCCTCTGAATTTTGCTGTGTACCTAAAACTGTTCTAAAAAATCAAATCTATTAATAAAAGAAAAAAGTATAGAGTCAAGAAAAATAATGAGTTAGACCATGCGACCCAATACAGTAAGACATTTCTTACATTTTTAGTCAACCCAGTAAAAATATAAAACAAATGCATTAAAATGTTACCATGCAATGGAATTGTAACTTTATGTCCTGTTGTCCCTGTTACTGTGGTTGTGGCCATTGTTAGAAGAGTTTGACCAGGTAAAATTGATATATTTTCAGCAGTAATGCTTGAAGAAGGAGCAATTTTCAATTTTGTTCCTTCTGTTATGATCTTATCTGTAAGCATTTCCTTTGGGGGATCCTCTCCAAAAAGTCTTCTCTTAGCACTCCCTGCCGTAGGAGAACTGTAGCGTTCATGGACAGAAATTGGAGACAATGGTTGCATATCTAATAAAGAGAAAAAGAAATTTAAAACAGTTTAAAATGTATTACAAAATAATAAATCAGATTTACTCATTCATTCAACAAGTAGCTATTGAGTTACTATGCTAGGCACTTGGGATCCAGCAATTAATATAACATGGCCTCTGCCCTCATGGAATATCAAATCTAGTGGGAGAAAGTGGCATGAAATAAGTCATTACAATAAACTGTGAAAATTATGATAGCTCGTCTTCCTGGTTTCTTGAATCTTTGCCTATATTAAAGGAGCAAAACATTAAGGATAAAGTAGTTGTTGAGAGGTAGAATGATGTGTCCACTAAATTTAAGAAGTAGTAAATACTATCTAGTAAATAGCACATGAGAAGTAGTAAATCTTATCTAGTAAATAGCACATGAGAAGAAGAGAAGCAAAAGCAAAAATTACTGATTTGGGTCACATTTTTGCCTCCTCTTGCACTCCTATACTCTATGCTATTTAAGGCAATAGCTGTGGCTTTCTGATTTAGTAAATATGGAGTCATCTTTAATAAATCCATCAGAAGATATGAGTAAAGGTGGTACTCTGCTTACCTTGCCTTAATCTGATGGTTGGGAGTAGTGTGTTGATCAAAAATAAACTAAAGGTTATGGATTATGCCTCTCTTCCAGTGCTATCCTTTCACAAGGGCTGCTCTCCATTTTCTCTCCACTATGTGCACAGATTCTTCTAGCCCCTTATAATTCTACACCTTTTTCCACAATTCTTTTCTCAACCAACTGTTCTTTACAGGTGTGTGAATAATATGTTTTTTTTTGTTGTTATTGTTTCTTTTCTTGAGATAGAGTCTCACTCTGTTGTCCAGGCTAGAGTGCAGTGGCGTCATCATAGCTCACAACAACCTCAATCTCCTGGGCTTAAGCAATTCTCCTGCCTCAGCCTTCTGAGTAGCTGGGACTACAGGTGTGCGCACCACACTCAAACAATTTTTCTATTTTTTATAGAGAGGGGGTCTCGCTCTTGCTCAGGCTGGTGTCAAACTGGCCTCAAGCAATCCTTCTGCCTTGGCCTTCCAGAGTGCTAGTATTATAGGCATGATCCACTGTGCCCAGCCAATAATATGTTTTTTGGGTTTTTTTGAGACAGAGTCTCACTCTGTTGCCCCGGCTAGAGTGTCGTGGCATCAGCCTAGATCACAGCAACCTCAAATTCCTGGGCTCGAGTGATCCTTCTACCTCAGCCTCCCGAGTAGCTGGGACTACAGGTATGCACCACCATGCCCGGCTAATTTTTTCTATTTTTGGTAGAGACAGGGGCTCGCTCTTGCTCAGGCTGGTCTTGAACTCCTGAGCTCAAAGGATCCGCCCACCTCAGTCTCCCAGAGTGCAAGGATTACAGGCGTGAGGCACTGCGCCTGGCCAATAATATGTTTTTAAAGTAAAAATATTTCATTATTTATTATTATATTCACTAGTTAATTCAATAGTCATGTAATCTATTTTCAAATCATGCTCAAAAATATGAAAATTATCTCTGGAAATTATTTGGAAACTCTGTATTAGCAAGATGATTGGGAAACAGTCATGGTTTAAAAATAAGTCTTTTCATAATTCTGATGCTTATGAAAGCAGTTCTGACTTCCCCTGTCCTCAGTAAACAAGTAGACATTTCTACCTTAGCTTTCATTATTCCTTTATAAGAGTCTGTTGGATGCCTTATATTTAAGAAATCCAAGCCAGCTCTTGAATCTGACTAGGCACTTTCAAAGCTGACATTCCAAGGGAAGACTTGAGTTACAGCCATGAAATTAGCTGCAAACCCCTCAAAATGATCTTTCCTTAGCACAGGACTGGAAAAGCTATAGTGGACACTCAATAGAAATTTAATGAGTATACAAATGATAAGCTGATCCAAACTTAGAAAGGATCATGATAATTTTTCAAGGCACAGAAAAGATGCTCACTTAGTTTTAAGTTATTTGAGAAGAAAGCAGCAAGCACTGCTTAAACTATTCTTGGTAAGTGTTTTAAAAAGAAAGAAAATAATTCTCATGGTTTATAATGTTTTAAATTATAGTGTACCAAATAAATATTTATACTATTTTTTCATTTCATTAAACATTAATAACTGGCAGTAAGAAGTGTTTTTAATATTTTGACAAGATTTGTAAAGTTCACAAAATAATTGTAATAATTCCCTTTTATTAAGATTGCTTTGAGGCCTGGGACAGTGCTTCTTCACTCCTGAATCCCAGCACTTTGGGAGGCCAAGGCAGAGGATCATTTGGAGCCAGGAGCTTGAGACCAGCCTTAGCAACACAGTGAGACCCTGTTTCTACCCAAAAGTAAAAAAAAAATTAGTTGAGTGTGGTGGTGCATACCTATAGTCCCAGCTATTTGGGAGGCTGAGGCGGGAGGATTGCTTCAGCTCAGGAGCTCAAGGCTACAGTGAGCTATGATCATGCCACTGCACTCCAGTCTAGGTGACAGAGTGAGACCTTATTTCTTAAAAAAAAAAAGATTGTTTTGCATTCCTAGCTTGCACATTTTTATGATTCTGCACTGCATGTAAAGACTGCACAAACATACACATACGGTCCATAAATGTATGTACCTTACTATATAACCTGAATAATTGCTCATCTAAGGATTGTTCAGGAACAATGTATAGTCAGGAGATTTTCTTTACTGATTTAAAAAAAAATCCAAGAGCTATATAATCCAGAAGATGCACATATCAGTTTGCTAGATGACAGGAGAAACTAAGAAAGAATGCACTAAAATCTTCCTATTGGTAAGGCTCAAAACGAACTATTTTAAGACAGTGTAGATATGTCTTTTATTAGATGAACTTAAGCATCCCAAAGAGAATATGAGTATCCTGTTTTGCCTTAACTATTTTTCTACAGAGATGTACACAGACAAAGGAAGAATAGAACTTTTTGTCAAATTTGTAAAAGTAGCTGTTTAGCTATCTTCTATTATTTTTGGAGACAGGGTCTCACTATTTTGCTCAGGCTTGGCTCTAACTCATAATTCTCCCACCTCAGCCTCCTTAGTTGCTGTGACTACAGGTGCATGCCACCTGGCTTTAGCTTATTTAAATAATTTTCCATTAGTATTGAAGAAAGATTGTAAACATTTATCAAAAGTCCAAAATATTATTTCTACAAAAAATGATATAGCAATTTTAAAGATTATATTCAAAATTCCACTAATGCAATATAAAAAAAGTATACAATGAACCACAAAAGGGTGATGGCACAAGTATCAAGCCCCTTTTTGAATCCTGATTAATAAATTAGATTTCTTAATAATGTATTCAAAGATTTAAAATTTTCTCTGAAAAAAAAGATCTTTGTTACTTTTTCTTTATTATTACAACGTTGAACCTACCCCTTCGAAGACTCCCACTATCGGTCCGAACTTCCTTGACTCTTGGATGCATTATAGGAGACATTGGCATCATAGGAAGATGTCCCTGTACATTTCCTCCATTTACTGTTTCAAAGTTATTTGGGAATATAACCTGTAGAAAACAAAACCCCTTTGCTTTACAGATAAACTCATTGATTAAAACTTGAAATAGAAAAAAAAAAAAAACCAAACCAAGAAAAAAGGTTTTCTTAACTTCTTTTTTTTTTTTTTTTTGAGATAGGATCTCTGTAACTCAGGCTAGATTATAGTGGCATCATTATAGCTCATAGCAACCTCAAACTCCTGGACTCAAGTGATCCTCCTGCCTCAGCCTCCTGAGTAGCTGGGACTACAGGCAGATACCAACATGCCTAGCTAATTTTTCTATTTTTTTGTAGAGACAGGGTCTCACTCTTGCTCAGGTTGGTCTTGAACTCCTGGACTCAAGCAATTCTCTTGCCTAGGCCTCCCAGAGTGCTAGGATTACAAGCACGAGCCACTGCACCCACCTCTTCTACTGTTTTATTAATATTTCCCTTTCCTTCTTACTTCTTCACAAAATATAACAACTTGCATAGCATGCGTTTTTTTGTTGTTTGTTTTTTTTTTAGGGACAGGGTCTCACTCTGTTGCCCAGGCTGGTGTACAGTTGTGTGATCATAGCTCACTGCAAACTCCTGGGCTTAAGCAATCTTCCTGCCTCAGCCTCCCGAATAGCTGGGACTGCAGGCACCTGCCACCACACCTGACTAATTATTTTTATTTTTTGTAGAGATGGTGTCTTGCTGTATTGTATAACGGCTGGTCTTGAACTCCTGGCCTCAAGTAATCCTCCTGCCTCAGCCTCCCAAAGTGCTGGGATTACAAGCATGCGCCACTGCACCTGACCTCAATTGTTAATGTTATCAGATATATGAAAAGAGCTCATTTCACTTAACCTTATAGTTTATCTACATAAGTCACTGATCACTAGAAGTAAACTTGTGAGGGAGGCACTGTCATTCTCCATTTTGGGATGGGATAACTGAGGATCAGAATGTGAAATTTGCCCAAGGTCACACTACTACTAAGTAATAAGAGCAAGGGCTTCAACTCATAGCCTTCTCCTTCAAGCTTTTTTTTGAACTTGAAGGAGTTCAAAGTTCTACAATTGAAATATACTGATGAATACTGAAGATTGTCCAATCAACCATAATCTCGATAAAGCTATCTTTTAAATGATGAGATTATCAGCCTTGCCCTAACTTACTTCTTCACAGGTAGGAACTTTGTTTGCAAAAGCCTGGAGGGCCTCCCATAGTGCAGAATCATGACTCCATGCTAAACTCTCCAAAATCTGTTCTTCGATGCTGTTCAAGTGTTTCACCATGTCCCTTGAGAGCCCATCCTCTGAGCGAATTACCACCTCAATAACCTGGAGAGGAGAAAATTGAGAAGACAATGTGGTTTCTAGCAGTCAATTCAACTCTGGGCTTATTCTTTGACAAAGAACTGATGCCACCTGTGAATCATAATTCTTTGGCTTACTAGTATCTTCTAATTTATAAAGGAGCTTTAAGGTCTTTAAAATATCTTTTACCCACACTTCTGTTTTTCATGTTTTATTTTATATATGAAAAGCTGAGGCACTAATAGGTGGAAATTGGTCAATAGCTCAAAAGTGGTAGAAGTTAGCTGTTCAGTTGCCAGTCCAGTTCTATTCTGAATGCACTATTCCTTTCCAATTATTCTTCCCAATATTTCAAAATAACAGAATGAATAAACTACTCACAATAACTTTCCTTATATATACTATAATTCCATTTTAATAAGAGAAAATACCTAGAACAAAGTGTAAGTATATGCACAAAAATACTAATACTGATAATTAACAATTAGATTATAATATGTGATTTTAATATTTATATTGATGTGTAATTTCTGGTTTTCTTCAATGAGTATATATCATTTATGTGATTAAAAAAACAAAGGCATTAAGCTTCTTTGGTTTTGTTTTTTTTTTTTGAGGTAGGGTCTTACTCTGTTGCCTGGGCTAGAGTGCAGTGGTATCATCATAGCTCACCGCATCCTCAAACTTCTGGGCTCAAGTGATCCTCCTGCCTCAGCCTCCCAAGTGGCTAAGACTACAGGTTCATGCCTCACGGACAGCTCATTTTTCTATGTTTTGTAAACATGGATCTCATTATAGCCCAGGCTGGTCTTGAACTCCTAGCCTCAGGTGATCCTTCTGCCTCAGCCTCCCAAAGTGCTAGGATTATATCATGAGCTACCACATCCAGCCAGCATTTAGCTCCTTGAATAAAATGAGGATGCTACAAATAAAAACAAATTGCTATTAGGTTGTGGGCAAAAACTAAACTTTTCCTAATGGCAAAAGCTGAGTATACACATCAACATTAAAATAAGTATACAGAATCACTATATTTTAATCACAGGCAGTCAACAATTCAAACAGAGAAGCTTTCTAATAATCTGCATCAGTAGTTTGAAAGTAGCCCAGATGACTAAATATTAACTAAATCATGCAAATAGGCATAACAGTAGCATTATTCTTAAATTTGGATACTAGGTAATGTTAAATGTTATTGATTGTGATGATTAAATGTTATTGACTGTGATGACATAGCTCAATAGCTGTGATATATACATTCTACATATTCTACAGAAAAAGGTTAATAAAAGTAGTTCTAGCAAAAAAAAAAAGGCAGGGTAAATAAGATTCATCTACACTGAATTAGCTCAAATTTGGGGAAGAAGCAGAATCTGTTATGACAGCTTCTTTAGTTAGACCATCATCACAATCAATTTTAGGCCTTTTCTTTCTCTTGGTAGAAAGTGTTTTTTGTTCTTCATTATGCTCCACCTGTTTAATGGGATTATCATTTTCATTCACAAATATGGAACCTTTGACGTACTTATTTCCAGGTCATATTTGCAAGTCAGTGAAAGAAAAAGAACTGAAGCTGTGAGATTGGCTTAATTTACTGATATCTACATACTCTCCTTTTTGTTCTGGATTTCACCCAAAAGGAATATATATTTTTAGAACACATCTGAAAATATTTTTCAGACATTACAACAGTGTCTCTTTAGCACTAAGATAAATACAAGGTTTATATGAGTACACCATAACTGAACTTTGCCCTCTTCTCACCTTATAAAAGTAAAATGGTTGCAAATCAAGAACTTCAATAACCCAAGGAAATGTACGAGGTGAGCTGTAGGCAAAGAGCACAATTTCCAAACAACAAGCCATCAAGGAATGATGAAATATATCTTGCTCTAAAAGAACCTTGGGAAAGAGAAAGACCACAGTTTAATTAAACTTAATTCTTTTTTTTTTTTTTGAGAAAGAGTCTCGCTTTGTTGCCCAGGCTAGAGTGAGTGCCGTGGCGTCAGCCTAGCTCACAGCAACCTCAAACTCCTGGGCTCAAGCAATCCTTCTGCCTCAGCCTCCCAAGTAGCTGGGACTATAGGCGTGCACCACCATGCTCGGCTAATTTTTTCTATATATATATTAGTTGGCCAATTAATTTCTTTCTATTTATAGTAGAGGCGGGATCTCGCTCTTGCTCAGGCTGGTTTCGAACTCCTGACCTCAAGCAATCCGCCCACCTCTGTCTCCCAGAGTGCTAGGATTATAGGCATGAGCCACTGCACCCGGCCTTAATTCTTATTTATATCAATTAGCCTATGATAAAATTTGTTTCATTAGACATCATTTTGCCTTAAGTCACAGTTTCCAAGAACCTACTGACAACATTGAGAATTTACTGTATACATTCTTTTCAAGCATCCACAGAACATTTACCAAGATATAGCATATCCTGGTACATAAAATAACTTCAACATAATTTTAAAAATTGAATTCATATAGAATGTCTTATAAAGTATAGAAATGGAAAACAGCAGTGGCTTAGGGAAGTATGACTATACAGGGCAGTATGAGGAAGATCTTTGTGGTTACAGAATAATTCTGTATCTTGAATTTGGTGGTGGCTTTATAATCTACACATGTGATACAATAGTATAGACAGATATACACTGTTTCAATGTTAATTTCCTGGTTTTGATATTATAAATTGTAAACACTAGGGGAAACTGGGTAAAGGGTACCTGGGACTTCTCTGTACTATTTTTGCAACTCTGTGAATTTATAATTATTTTAAAATAAAAAGTTAAAAAATTTACTTCTTTCTCCAAAAGCCATGGGAATGTATGTTCCATCAAGATGTTAGGGTAAACTACAAAAGAGAAATGTATAGAACCCCCCAAAATAGAGGGTAATCAATACAGAAGAGATATGAAGAAAATCTCTAGATGAAAACAAAGAGAAATTCTATTATAATAGTTATGTAGCATTCTTAGATGTCAACCTCTTCCTATTGAAATAGGAGGTCAGAAGACTCCTGAATGACTGACTACAGAGAGAAAAAAGGAGGGAAGAGCAAACTGAAAGATCATATGCAAGTTTTGACTTATAGAAAAATTACTTTACATAGCTTATTGTAGAGAGTGGTTAGACTAAGTCAAATAGTCAAAGAAAATGAAGCAACTTTTAAAAATTTGCACCATTTTATAATCCAAAATTCTGGGAGGTATGGAAAAATATCTTAATTATCAGTTGGCTTAATAGTTGGGGCGGGGGGGGGGGGGTGCATTAACACTACCTGGGAATGAAGGACCAAAAAACAGGGCATTGTGTACCAAAGATGAATTTTACACATTTCACATTTCTGCCTATACACAGCTAGCCCTGCATGTGCCAAAGTCAACAAAAATGTCATCTTGGCCTCATTTGCCATAAACTGCTGACCTCTACAATGCCCTATAGAGCATCTCAAAACACTGCTTCCAGGCTAAGACTTTTGGACCTTGCCAGTGGCTGGGAGAGTGAATTTACTTACTGACATGTCCATTCCATGAAGTCTTCGTGTTTCCTGAACCATTACAGTCTCTAATATTTTATAATACAAAATTTCTGCCAGCTTTAGTCTGTTTACAGCAAAGTCTACAGGGGAAATATAGGGAAAAAAGGAGTTCATGAATTTTAGTTGTTAAGGACTGAAGAACAAAAATTATATACACTTAAATCTGATACATGAAGACAAATAGGCAAGGAAAAAACTTGAATTTGTGCTTTTGAGGGGACAATATATCAACCTTCAATATTGTGCCAATTTTTTTTTTTTTTTTTAATACTTTACATTCACAGACAGGGATGAAATTGTGCCAATTTTTATTTTTGCTTCTTACCTATGTGAGATCCTGGCTGTTCATCTGTTGATTGAGTATAGTGTTGGCAGAAAGTCTCTCCTATTCCTTTCACTATTTTCATAATGTTTTCCATTGGATTACGTATACAAGATCTACAAAATACAAGAGGAACATAATTACCAGGAAAACATCAGAGTGCCTACATTCCTTCTTTCAAAAATTCGCTTGGTTTTTAGTAGCTAAAGTTTTTTTTTTTTTTTCAAGAGAATTAAATCGTTTATTGATTACACATGATAATGGTTGATACACAAGCTTCATTCCCATCTATAATTTTTATCTGGTACCATTATTCAATTTAGATATATTGCATAGGATATGCCAACAATCATCTTTATAACCAATAATTCCATGATTTTTCCTTGCATGACCCCTTTTAATGGTGAACTTCAGGTCACAACAGTAACCATCAGTTCAACTACATCAAGGTTTCTGAAGACAATGGCTTCTCCACCCAAGCAGGTTGTAAATGAATTTCAAATAGAACCTGGCATCACCCTGAAGGAATTCTATCTTCACACTTTTGGGGAAGTTTACCAAAATGGCTTCAGAGTAGACTAACTTTACACAGCACATTTAAAAAAAAAAAAAAAAGACACATTTATTCAGCGTCATGATCAGACTATTACATTTAGCAATCAACAGCATGGGTGCAAAAAAAAAAAAAATCTACATTAAAACCCTTTGTTGGAATGCTTTACACTTTCCACAGAACAGAAACTAAAATAACCTGTTATACAATTAGTCACAAATATAGTCCTCGAGTTTTTTGCCCATACACATGAGTATTGTCTAAAACATGTCTTCTTTGTAGCAGCTAGGCCCTGCCACCACTGTGCTTGGCTGAGTTCACAAATCTGTTGTAACCTGTAGCTTCCCTGTCACTTCTCTGGCTCTCCTCTCCTGCTAAGCTTTGTTTCCTGGGAATAATTAAAACCTTCTGCCACTGCCATAGCTACTGCTGCTACTGGAACCACCATAGCCACCTTGGTTTCGTGGTTTGGCAAAGTATTGGCCTCCACCACCATAGGGGCCAGAGCTTCTGCCTCCAAAATTTCCTCCCTTCATGGGTCCAAAATTTGAAGACTGATTGTTGTAATTGCCAAAATCATTGTAGCTTCCACCACCTCCAAAATTGCTTCCATCATTACCAAATCCATTGTACCCATCCCCACTGCCACCATATCCACCACCACCACGGCTGCCACCAAAGCCACCTCGACCACTGAAGTTTCCTCCACGGCCAAAGTTGTCATTCCCACCAAAACCACCTCCACGACCACCACCAAAGTTTCCAGAACCACTTCGACCTCTTTGGCTGGATGAAGCACTAGCCATCTCTTGCTTTGACAGGGCTTTCCTTACTTCACAGTTGTGGCCATTCACAGTATGGTATTTCTGAATGACAATCTTATCCACAGAATCATGGTCATCAAAGGTTACAAAAGCAAAGCCCCTCTTCTTGCCACTGCCTCTGTCAGTCATGATTTCAATCACTTCAATTTTCCCATACTGTTCAAAATAGTCTCTTAGGTGATGTTCTTCCGTGTCTTCTTTAATGCCACCAACAAAGATCTTTTTCACAGTTAAGTGGGCACCTGGTCTTTGAGAATCTTCTCTGGAGACAGCTCTCTTTGGTTCCACAACTCTTCCATCCACCTTGTGTGGCCGTGCATTCATTGCTGCATCCACCTCCTCCACAGTGGCGTACGTGACAAACCCAAAGCCCCTGGAGCGCTTGGTGTTTGGATCTCTCATTACCACACAGTCTGTGAGCGTTCCCCATTGCTCAAAATGGCTCCTCAGACTCTCATCGGTTGTTTCAAAGCTCAATCCTCCGATGAATAGCTTCCGCAGCTGTTCGGGTTCTTTAGGAGACTCTGACTTAGACATGACGGCAGTGGGAAGAGAGACTTCAACGATGCTTCCTCGACAGCGTCCACAGACAGAAAGGCAGTAGCTAAAGTTTTTTGTTTTTTAAGACTCAGAGTCTCACTGTCACCCAGGCTAGAGTGCAGTGGTGTGATCATAGCTCACTGAAGCTTCAAACTCTTTGGCTCAGGCAATCCTCCCCCTTCAGCCTCCCCAGTAACTGGGACAAGCCAAAATTCTATTCTTAGTTGTAAACCTTTATATGTAAACAAAGCTTTATATATGTAAAATATTTTATATATAATATATAAAATTACATATAATAAAAAGTTACATTTTTTACACATGTAAAAAAACTGTTTCTATGAGTTTGACTATTTTATATACCTCATATGAGTGGAATCATGCAGTATTTGTCTTTTTGTGATTGGCTTATTTCACTTAGCATAATTTACTCAAGGTTTATCCATGTTTTAGATATGACAAGATTTTCTTCTTATTATTTTGTTTTTTAAAGACAAGGTCTTACTCTGTTGCCCAGGCTGGAGTGCAGTGGCATGATCATAGCCCACTGTAGCCCGAAATTCCTGGGCTCTTCTCATCTCAGTCTCCTGAGTTGCTGGAACTATAGACATGTGCCACCATGCCCACTAATAACTGTTTTCAATTCTTCTGAAAATATAGCCAGAAGTGGTACTGCTGAGTCATATAGTAATTGTATTTTTAATTTTTTGAGAAATCTCTACACTGTTTTCCATAGCAGTTGTAGCATTTTACAATCCTACCAATAATGTGCAAGAGTTCCAATTTTTCTACATCCTTACCGAGACTTGCAATCTGGGCTATTTTGGGGATGGGGAATAGTGGTCATCCTAACAGATAAGAGGTGACATCTCATTGTTTTTCATCTTTTTTTTCTTTCTTTCTTTCTTTTTTGAGACAGGGTCTCACTCTGTTGCCCAGGCTAGAGTACAGTGACACGAGCATAGCTCACTGTAGCCTTTAACTCCTAGGCTCAAGAAATCCTTCTGCATCAGCCTTTCAAGTTGATAGGACTACAGGTATGCACCATCATGTCTGGTTAATTTTTCTTTTTATTTTTGTTTTTGTAGAGATAGGTTTTGCTATGTTGCTCAGGCTGGTCTCAATTTATCCTGCTGTCTTGGACTCCCAAAGTCCTAGGATTACAGGCATGAGGCACTGCCCAGCTTCCCAGAGGGGTGTTTTTCTTTTTTTAAATTAACTTTTTCTTATCACCTACAATTTTAATTTTGTCATTATTGAAAAAGTTGTTTTGGACTTAAATAGATTATCATGTTTGTCTCTTGCACACACGTAAAAAGAAAAAGACATAGCAAGACCTCATCCCTATAAAAACATTTAAAAAAATTAGCCAGGCCTGGTGGCAGGCACCTGTAATACTAGCTACTCAGGAGGCTGAGGCTGGAGGATCGCTTGAGCCAGGGAGTTTGAGGCTGCAGTGAGCTATGAAAGCACCACTGCACTCCAGCCTGGGCTACAGAGTGAGATCTTGTCTCTAAGAAAATATAAAATTAAAAAAAAAGAAAAAGATGGATGGAATAAGTTAAGTCTTCACTTTCAGGATGTCTGTGAGTTTCCACAGAATATTGACTGTTGTGCAATCAAGGGTGTTCGTGATACAGCATTTCTTAAGAGAGCTCCACCATCTTCTGAGATTTTCTTCCAAGTCACTGACCCTTACATTGTAAGTTTTAGTACTGGTTCTTTCTTGATCTCATCAGAAGGTATCAATAGATGGTTTTTGAATAGAAATCAGGATTTGTGCTCCTTCTTCAAATGATCCTTAAATGGCATAGGAACTAACTTATCCAGAGGCTCTGGTCACAGTTGCACAGCCACGCCACCCAGAATAACAACCACATCCATATGCATAGGTAATGAAAACTCTAACACAACTAACATCGACTGTTACACAGAGAAGCATCTTCACAGGTGGCTTGCATGCTCTTGTCATTTGTGTCCCAGCTCAAAGTGGAAAAACAGGAGATAAAAGAGGGATGCCTCAGACTAGTGGCCAGGGGCGTGGAGGTTCTGGGGTGCCATGCCCACCAGGGACACAGAAACTAGGTCTAGGCTGGGCATGGTGGCTCACGCCTGTAATCCTAGCACTCTGGGAGGCCAAGGTGAGAGGATCGCTCAAGGTCAAGAGTTCGAAACCAGCTCTAAGCAAGAGCGAGACCCCGTCTCTACTAAAAATAGAAAGAAATTAATTGGCCAACTAAAAATATATAGAAAAAATTAGCCGGGCATGGTGGCGCATGGCTGTAGTCCCAGCTACTCGGGAGGCTGAGGCAGAAGGACTGAGCCCAGGAGTCTGAGGTTGCTGTGAGCTACGCTGACGCCACTGCACTCTAGCCCAGGCAACAGAGTGAGACTCTGTCTCAAGAAAAAAAAAAGAAACTAGGTTTATAGGTGGTGAGGGCAGGAGTGAGCCACCAGGAAAAGGCAGGAGAGCTTCACTGTCTCCTTTGCAGAAATGTCTACCCAGCCCTTTTACATTTTTTAACTGAATTATTTCTTTTCTGCTATTGGATTGTAGGAGTTCTTTTTCTTTTTTTTTTTTTTTTTGAGACAGAGTCTCGCTTTCTTGCCTAGGCTAGAGTGAGTGCCGTGGCGTCAGCCTAGCTCACAGCAACCTCAAACTCCTGGGCTCAAGCGATCCTTCTGTCTCAGCCTCCCAAGTAGCTGGGACTACAGGCATGAGCCACCATGCCCGGCTAATTTTTTCTATATATATTAGTTGGTCAATTAGTTTCTTTCTATTTATAGTAGAGACAGGGTCTCGCTCTTGTTCAGGCTGGTTTCGAACTCCCGACCTCGAGCAATCTGCTTGCCTCCCAGAGAGCTAGGATTACAGGCGTGAGCCACCGCGCCCGGCCTAGGAGTTCTTTACATATTCTGGGTATGAACCCCTTATCTGATACAGTTTGTAATTATAATATTTCTCCCATTCTGTAGGTTGTCTTTTTACTCTGTGGGTAGTTTTCCTTGCCATGTAAAAGTTTTTAAGCTTGATATAGTCCCATTTATCTATTTTTCCTTTTGTTACCTGTGCTTTTGGTGTCATAGTTAAGAAATCATCATCACTCATTCCAATGCAATAAAACTTTCTCCTCATGTTTTTTTCTAGGAATTTTATAGCTTTAGGTCTTTTGTTTAGATCTTTAATGCATTTCAAGTTAATTTTTCGATAACAAGTAAGATAAGAGTCTATCTTCAGGCCAGGTGTGGTGGCTCACACCTGAAATCCTAGCACTCTGGGAGGCCAAGGTGGGAGGATTGCTTGAGCTCAGGAGTTCGAGACTATTCTGAGCAAGAGCAAGACCCCATTCTCCACTAAGAAGAGAAAAATTAGCCATGCCTATAGTCCTAGTTACTCGGGAGGCTGAGGTGAGAGGATCACTTGAGCCCAGGAGTTTGAGGTTACTGTGAGCTACGATGACACCACTGTGTTCTACCCAGAATGACAGAGTGAGACTCTGTCTCAAAAAAAAAAAAAAAAAAAGAGTCTATCTTCATTCTTTGCATGGATATCCAGTTGAAGAGATTATCCTTTCTCCATTGTATAGTTCTGGCACCCTTGTCGAAGATTACATGACCTGTATGTGATAATTTATTTCTAGGCTCTCTACTCTGTTCCATTAGTCTACAGGTCTGTCTTTAGGTTAATACCATACTGTTTTGATTACTGTAGCTTTGTAATAGGTTTTAAAATGAGAAAGTGTGTAGTATACAGCTTTGTTTTTTCTCAAGATCGTTTTGACTATTCAGGGTCCTTTGAGATTATGCATAAATTTTAGGTTTTCTTTTATGTCTCCAAAAAATGACATTGGGATTTTGATAGGGATTGCACTGAATCTGTTGGTCACTTTTATATGACATGGACATTTTAACAACATTAAGTCTTCCAGTCTATGAACACAGATGTCTTTACATTTATTTGTGTCTAGGTTTTTTCATCTTTTGCATTCTATACTTATTTCCTTTTCTTGTTGCTATAAAATGTTTGTATAGTTGCCTTGTTATATCTTTTCAACTTATACATGCTTAAACGAGCAGTTCAGTCCAGACCTATTTACTCAAATGTTATAGAAGGCAGATCTCCACAAAAGTCTTACTACCTTACCAGCAACACACTTATCTTCTGAGGCTGTGGTCTCCAACCCCCGGGCCATGGCCTAGTATTGTAGTCTGTTAGGAAACAGGCCGTACATCACTGCCTGAGCCCTGCACCACACATGTCTCCCTCACCCCATGACACCCCAGACCCTCAACCACAGTCTATGGAAAAACTGTCTTCCATGAAACTGGTCCCTGGTGCCAAAAAGGTTGAGGACCGCTGTTCTGAGGTATTTCTGATGCTAGGGATTGTTCTGTCCACTTTTTTGTATCCTAAAGGTTTGGGGAACATGGGGAAAGCTCAGCTGGCACTATGTTCAACTTTTGTTGGAGGACCAGGGATTTGCTTTCTCTTCTGAGATTTAGTTAAATGTCCCCATTCCAGGATTCACTATACCTAGTCAGAGATATCTTCCAGTTTTATGAGGCTCTCTCCTCAAATCATCATGGAATGTCAGAAATTGGCAGCCCCTGGCAGTTGTTCTATTTCCAGTGGGATCCTGGTGGTGGTAAACAGGGACTTTCACTTAAGAAGGCTTCTATGACTTTTTTTTTTTTCTACTTCTTTTTTTTTTTTGAGACAGAGTCTCGCTTTGTTGCCTAGGCTAGAGTGCCGTGGGGTTAGCCTGGCTCACAGCAACCTCAATCTCCTGGGCTCAGCGATCCTACTGTCTCAGCCTCCCGAGTAGCTGGGACTACAGGCATGCGCCACCATGCCCGGCTAATTTTTTTATATATATATATTTGTTGGCCAATTAATTTCTTTCTATTTATACTAGAGACGGGGTCTCGCTCTTGCTCAAGCTGGTTTCGAACTCCTGACCTTGAGCAATCCGCCCACCTCGGCCTCCCAGAGTGCTAGGATTACAGGCGTGAGCCACCACGCCCGGCCTATTCTACCATCTTTAACCAAAAAACATGCCTTTTTGTAGAAAAAAAATTGCATAAAATTCCATTTTATGGCTGTACCACCAATATGTAACCAGTCCCCTATCCGATGGACATTAGATTTAATTCATTTAAAGTTAATATAAAAGGAAAAACATGCATAAGTCAGGGGTAAAGAGCTAAATAAACTTTAAGATATATACATATCTTTGAAAGTCTATAATGCTATGAAATAATATTATACATATTTTTTTTTTGAGACACATTCTCATTCTGTTGCCCAGGCTAGAGTGCCGTGGCGTCAGCCTAGCTTACAGCAACCTCAAACTCCAGGGCTCAAGCAATCCTCCTGCCTCAGTCTCCCAAGTAGCTGGGACTACAGGCATGCACCACCGTGCTCAGCTAATTTTTTCTATATCTTTTTAGTTGACCAAATAATTTGTTTCTATATTTAGTAGAGATGGAATCTTACTCTTGCTCAGGCTGGTTTCAAACTCCTGACCGTGAGCAATCCTCCCGCCTCGGCCTCCCAGAGTGCTGGGATTACAGGTGTGAGCCACCATGCCTGGCCTATAGATAATTTTTTTAAAGAGCAGGGTCTCAGCCTGGGCAACATAGGCGACCCTGTCTCTTAAAAAAATAAAAAATAAAAAGCCAGACATGGTGGTGTGCGTCTGTAGTTCTAACTACTTGCGAAGCTGAAGCAGGCGGATCCCTTGAGCCCTGGAGTTTGATGGTGTAGTGAGGACTATACCACTGTACCCTAGCCCAGGACAGCAAGACTTTAAAGAGAAAAAAAAAGTAGCTGGGACTACAGGTGCACACCACCACACCAGGCTATTATATATAATTTTTAATATGTACTCCTATCTAGCTATAGGTCAATATATTTTTATGATTGAAATGGTATAGTAAAACTTGCCAGATTTATATCCACTAGGTCAAGAATTCTGAATATACTAAAAATAGAATGGAATAAGGCATCCAATTTTAAAAAGACATTTAGAAAAATAACAGTATTGTACATACTCAAAAATATTTATAAGTTGGTCACTTGGTGCATTTTTCAATCCAGCAACAATACTCTGTAAACGGCTTACACTTTGGGTGGCTGATGCTACAGGAGTAATAACTGCTTCTTTTTCTCGTAAATACCGCCGTCCTGTCAGTGGGGTAGAAGGTGCAAACGATCTGTTCTGTCAGAAAAGAAAAATCTGTGAGATTAAAAAGTTACCTTCCACCTTATGTATTTAATTCAGTATATATACCATCTTCTTTATTCATGTTTGGTGAATATCCACCAAATTTTTAGCATTACGATGCTAATATCTTTATTTTTTTATTTTTATTTTTTTTTGAGACAGAGTCTCACTTTGTTGCCCAGGCTAGAGTGAGTGCCGTGGCGTCAGCCTGGCTCACAGCAACCTCGAACTCCTGGGCTCAAGCAATCCTTCTGCTTCAGCCTCCCAAGTAGCTGGGACTACAGGCATGTGCCACCATGCCCGGCTAATTTTTTCTATATATATTAGTTGGCCAATTAATTTCTTTCTATTTATAGTAGAGACGAGGTCTTGCTCTTGCTCAGGTTGGTTTAGAACAACTGAGCTCAAACAATCCGCCCGCCTTGGCCTCCCAGAGAGCTAGGATTACAGGCGTGAGCCACCACGCCCGGCCTATATCCTTATTTTTAAATAACAGTTTTTCTTTTTCTTAAGACAATGTCTCACTTTGTTGCCCAGGCTAGAGTGCCGTGGGGTTAGCCTAGCTCACAGCAACCTCAAACTCTTGGGCTCAAGCAATCCTTCTGTCTCAGCCACCTGAGTAGCTGGGACTACAGGCATGCGCCACCATGCCTGGTTAACTTTTTCTATATATTTTTAGCTGTCCAATTAATTTCTTTCTATTTTTGGTAGAGACAGGGTCTCGATCTTGCTCAGGCTGGTCTCAAATTCCTGAGCTCAAATGATCCACCCGCCTCAGCCTCCCAGAATGCTAGGATTACAGTCATGAGCCACCGTGCCCGGCCTTAATAACAGTTTTTCAAAGCACTTTCTACCTATAATGTCATTTTTTTTTTTTTTTTTTTTTGAGACAGAGTCTCACTTTTGTTACCCTGGCTAGAGTGAGTGCCGTGGCGTCAGCCTAGCTCACAGCAACCTCAAACTCCTGGGCTCAAGCGATCCTCCTGCCTCAGCCTCCCAAGTAGCTGGGACTACAGGCATGCGCCACCATGCCCAGCTAATTTTTTGTATATATATATTTTTTAGTTGGTCAATTAATTTCTTTCTATTTTTGGTAGAGACGGGGTCTCGCTCAGGATGGTTTCGAACTCCCAACCTCAAGCAATCCGCCCACCTCGGCCTCCCAGAGTGCTAGGATTACAGGCGTGAGCCACCACGCCCGGCCTATAATGTCATTTTATCTTCACAAAACTTGTTTGAAATATACATAACATATACACATTTTAATTTTACATATGAGGAAACAAGCCCAGAGAAGTTAAAAAACTTGTTTAAGGTGACAAAGACAATGGCAGTGCGTGGATTAATGTAGGTTTTCTTCTAGACCAATGAATTTTCCATTAGAGCTCATTCTCCAACCCATTTTATACATAAATAAAAAATTAAGCCTTGGCCATTAACAATCAAATCCAGAGTTATATAGCTGAAGTCAGAGAAAAGCATGTAGTCTGTGCCATGGGTAGGAAAGCAAACTACATTTTAAAGAAACCTAACAGGCTAAGTTGAAGCAAAGAAAGAATGGCAAGAAAGCAAAAATTCCTCTTTATGTCAAAAGACAAATAAATACATTTACCAATAAACCCAGGCATGCTGGGAAAATGTATATAAAATATGAATAATAACAAGAAATGAGGTAAAAATACTAAATGAAATAGTTTTACAAATTACCTTTTCAAGCTTTCATAGGAAATATGAATTAGTAGAAGAAACTCAAGATTTAACTTGAAAGATCCTTCTGCTGTTAGTAGAATCACATAGAAAGAAGAAAAGATCATTCAAGACTGAGGCCAGGCTAGGTTATATTACTTTTTCAAAGTGTTGTTGAAGGTTATACTCCACATTAGCCTGAGCTGTTAGTTTCCCTAATGACGTATCACCAGTGAACTTTCGAGGGGTTCCAATTTCTTCTTCTGCATCTGCTCCCAAAAAGATCCTCTCATCAAAATCACCAACAGTTAAAACATACTCTTCATACTCTTTGTTCACTGCTTTGCTGCAAAGAGAATTAATTTTAAGCTGCTGGAATAATATTTAATTATACAATGGATTTATCTTGACTTAAAGATAGATTTAGAGTCCTCAGCCTGGAAAAGCTGAGGACTTTCTAGTTTTTAGTAACTGTGCCCATTTAACAATATCATAGGGTCTTATTTGATTATAGAAATTCTTCACATTCACCTACAGAACAATAAATTAATTGAAAAGTGAGTGAAAAGAGAATATATACTCAATCTGAAAACTAGTTGGATGTAATTAAGGAAAAGAAAGTGATACCTGATCATTGAGGAAGAAATAATGGCTTTGAAATATGGGTATTCTGAGTCTGCCATCAGGTGATTAATGAAAGAATGCAAAATCAAAGTCCATGGGTCCATTTATAATTTCTCAGGAGAGTAGCTGGTTTTTATGGTTGTTGTTTGTTTTTGAGACAGAGTCTCACTCTGTTGCCTGGGCTAGAGTGCTGCGACGTCAGCCCAGCTCAAGTGGTCCTCCTGCCTCAGCCTCCCGAGTAGCTGAGACTACAGTCATGCGCCACTATGCCCAGCTTATTTTTCCTATACATTTTTTTAGTTGGCCAATTAATTTCTTTCTATTTTTAGCAGAGACAGGGTCTCGCTCTTGCTCAGGGTGGTCTTGAACTCTGGAGCTCAAACAATCTGCCTGCCTCAGCCTCCCAGAGAGAGTAGCTGTTTTATTTTATTTATTTATTTATTTATTTATTTATTTATTTATTTATTTATTTATTTATTTTTTTTGAGACAGAGTCTCACTTTGTTGCACAGGCTAGAGTGAGTGCCGTGGCGTCAGCCTAGCTCACAGCAACCTCAAACTCCTGGGCTCAAGCAATCCTTCTGCCTCAGCCTCCCGAGTAGCTGGGACTACAGTCATGCGCCACTATGCCTGGCTGATTTTTTGTATATATATTTTTAGTTGGCCAATTAATTTCTTTCTATTTTTAGTAAAGAGACAGGGTCTCGCTCTTGCTCAGGGTGGTCTTGAACTCTGGAGCTCAAACAATCCTCCCAACTTCAGCCTCCAGCAATCCGCCCGCCTCGGCCTCCCAGAGTGCTAGGATTACAGGTTTGAGCCACCGCGCCCGGCCGAGAGTAGCTGTTTTAAATGCCAACTATTTCTTAAAATAAATGTACATAACGCCAACAAGGCTCAGTGAGTGACAATACCCATTCAATGCCACTAAAGCAGAAGGATTTGAATTAGGAGGAGTTATTCTGATATAATGTTATACTGTCACTACTAATAGAAAATAAAAGAATACACAGAGACAAAAGTACAGTTTTATAATGTATAGGTTTTATAAAGTTGGGGGAATCAGGAGACCTCCAGCATTCCCATAAGCTGTGAGGCCCCAAGTGAAGTTTCACATCAGTATTTATTGGTATAGTGATTGGTTGCCAAGGGTAACAGATATACATAATAACAGGTAGTTTGGTTTTTTTTAGGTTAAAAGGTTAAAAGTCTCCCAAAAAGTTTCTAGAGATCCCTTAATTAACTCTATCTACATGAGCAAACCGTTACAAAATCTTTCTAAGACAAACTTCTAAGTTCTAAGATAAAAACTCACTTAGCAGAAAGGTTAAACAGAAATATAGTGGCTCTATATTTCTTTATCTAGTTTTTGTTGATTGAGACAGGTAGTCAGGAGTAAAGTAGGAACTGTCCCTTAAGCTAACTGCTTTTAGCTGCAGGTGTCTGTCTGATGGGTGGGCACTTTTTGATCAGTTCTCATCCCATGGCCTCATGCCAAGCTTTGTTGTACAGAACTAGGCATAAGCCAACAGGTTTGAGACTCAGGGTAGCTTTGGAAAGCACTGCCACTGACCTGTGAGATGCCCTCCTGAGGTGAGGCAGCTTTTGATATGTGAACTAACACGTGTTCACGTATTCCTTCAGGGCAAAGCCCTGCAAAACTCCTGAAATCATTTCTGTCTCTATATTCTAGGGGACATTTCTATAGCACAACATCATTAAGCTTAACAAATTACAATAAATCATTATTGGCAGTTTGTAATATGCCAGACACCATTAATGCTAGATACTTACCTATTATCAGTGAAACTAGAAAGGTCCAGGAGGCATTCTCCTTTTAAAATCTGGGAAGAAAAGTTATCATATAATAATTAAGTAGATTAACACATACCCCAAAACATAAAATGATCTAAGTTTTCACATTGTTAGCTGTTACAACAAAGACACAAAACAGAATTACTACATTATTTCAGATGAGTATTTGGCATGCAAATAAACCTTTTTTTTCCCGTTTTTGGAGACAGGGTCTCTCTCTATTGCCCAGGCTAGAGTGCAGTGGCATAATCATAGCTCAATGTAACCTCAAATTCTTAGGCTCTAGCAAACCTCCCACCTCAGCTTCCCTAGTAGCTAGGACCACAGGTATGAGCTATCAAGCTGGCCAAATTTTTAAAAAAAATTTTGATAGAGATGGGGTCTGTTGCCTAGGCTGATCTCAAACTCCTGGCCTTAAGCTATCCTCCCACCTTGGTCTCCTATAGTGCTGGGATTACAGGTGTGAGCTGTAATCACATGCCCAGCTGCAAATAAAATATTAAAAAACAAAAAAACATTTAAAGTCATGTTTTGAAACTTGGTTATTAGTCTATGGTAGTGGTCTCCAGATTTTAGTGATACAAGAGTCACTTACAGTAGATCTGGAGAGATTAAAAACAAACAAAAGAATCACTTAGGGGAAAATTTGTTATAAATGCAGATTGATGGAGCTCAAGGCTTGAACTGAGGCAGCATTTTTAATAAATTCCCCAAGTGATCCTAAAAATGAAAGCTGCTCATTATTAAATGGCAGTCTATGGAAAAGGGAAACTAACATTAATTAAATCATATATGTCAGACAAGTAAAAGATTCCAAGAGAATATATATAGGTACTGTTGCTGGAGGGAAAGGAAAACTACATTGTTATTAATATGCTCTGTGTACTGACACAACACTTAGATTACTATACATCAGGGGTTGCAAACCCAAATGCCTTCAGGGGTCAGGGTTCAACATATATAAATGAAAAGGGCAGGAAGCTTACTTCCCATCCTAAAAGAAATGGCCACCATTTAGCTTGACAGCAGTAACCCATGTAGAAACTCCAACCCAGTATTGCCATAGTTTCTTATTTTTAAAAGCTTTTCATGTAAAAGGTCTTGATATTTAAATGAAAAACATTGAATGAAATAAAAATAAGTATCATATTATTTTTATAGCATACCTACGCAGGCCAAACAAAACATATGTTCCCATGGGCAAGAGGACCATCATCTATAGCAGGATACTTATAGAGGTAAAGGAGGTACTATAATAATTATGCCAAAACAACAGCCAGATAATCCAGACAAACCAATATTTATGGTCATTGTACCCTGGTAGTATACTGTTGCTTCTGCAGAGGACACTGAACATAATCCCTAGGTTCTTTTAAGACTGTGGTCCCCAAACCCTGGGCCATAGACTGGTACCCATCTGTGGACTGCTAGGAACTGAGCTGCACAACAGGAGGTGAGCGGTGGGCAAGCAAGTGAAGCTTCATCTGTATTTACAGTTGCTCCCTATTGCTCACATCACCACATAAACTCTACCTCCTGTCAGATCAGCGGCAGCAAACCCTACTGTAAACTGCATATGTGAGGGACCTAGGTTGTGCACTCCATATAAGAATCTAATGCCTGAGGATCTGAGGTGGAGCTGAGGCAGTGATGTTAGGGCTGGCAAGCAGGTGCAAATACAGATTATCCTTAGCAGACAAGTTTGACTGTGCAATAAATGTAATGCGCTTGAATCATCCCCAAACCATTTCCCACCGCACTTCCCACCCTGTCTGTGGAAAAATTGTGTTCCATGAAACTGGTCCCTGGTGCCAAAAAGGTTAGGGACCACTGTTTTAAGAGTTTACTTTGCTGGACAAGATCTTTAGCATACAGATAAAGAATATTCATTCATTTAAAAATAGAATACAAAAGTCTGTGTAAGAGAAGAAACCAGTTAGAGAAGACTTTATGCTTAAAGGAAAATCTCAGTAATAACAAAGTAGAGGACCACAGTGATGACCTGATCCAAACCTCTCCTTTTACCAAAGAGAAATCTCAAGGCCTAGCTAGATTTAATGGCTTGATGTTGGGGAAATAAGAAATTGAAACCCAAAGGAACAAGCCAATTCATAAATATAGAAGTAGCTAATTATTTATGAGAAAAAATTCAGAATACATACAGGTAGTCTACAAGTAGCTACAAAACTATAATGAATTTTCTGCTCTATTTATATAGAATAAAAACTACAGTTGTTATGCATTATCCTACTTTTAGTAAACAACAGTTATGCAAAGTATAGCAGTAAATTAGTCAGGTTACTCTGACTTCCTGTTTTTCATAATTCTTTATCAGGCTTTCTCTGATGTTCTGTTCTTTATAATTTTTTATCAATACCTCCTATGGTTGGTTCTGACAGTGCATTTACCTGACATATAGTTGGTCACATTCTTCAACAGCTCAGTTTCTTACATCACACAAGATCACAGGGAAATTCTGCATCATAGCAGAGATTGAAACCTGGGAATCTTGACCCTGAGTCCTATAATGTTGAGAACTTGCTTAAAACATTTTTTTCCTTTGAGGCTGCTACTGAACCCTAATCATTTAATTATAAGTACAGTACCTTCCTATCAAAAAGTTTTGAAATATATGGCTTAAAGTAGTGCTCCTTTATTCCTTTTGCTTCTACTGGAAGTCCATCATGCAGTTCGCACAGTACAGCAATTATGCAGGGAGGCTCTTCAGAAGCCCTAAAGTCAGCAGTATGGAAATCAGATGGTAAACCTAGTTTGACAGGGTATGAAGAGAAGTAGGGAAAAAAAGAAAATGGTCAACTTCTAAAACTTTTTCCAAAAGTTGATAATTTGTTTTCAGAAATAAATAACGGTCTTACCTTTAAATGATGGATTTAGCAAGTCTTGTCTATTTGGGCACATAATGGCATTGGCAAAAATCAGATCCAAGCAGCACAGAAGTAAATGATAAGAGTTTACTAAATCATCCCCAATCATACGAAAATTACCTTTATAAGAAAAAAAGACACAAAAGCCAGAAAGCTTCCATGTGAAGTAGCACCAAGTTCCCACAGTAGAAATTTAAGACCATTGAAAGTATCACCTTACCCTTAGTATATACAAAGAGTGTCCAACAGAAATTAAAGAGATCCTTTACACTACAAGGAATCCTCCTAAAAAAGGGAAACAAATACACTTTTTGTCTGAGTAGCTTGCTAAATATCATGTAAATTGAAACAGTAAATATAAACAATAGCAAAGTCAAATTATATATAAAATTCCATTCACAATGGAAAGATAATCTATGATGTATGAAATGGACTTAAATAAGCCTTTCCAATCTGTATAAAAAGTAAAAGTATTACCCTCAATTTCCACACATGGAAAATTGTACATGGATTTAAAAAGAAATTTAAGTTCTTTGCAGATGGGTATTTCTTGCAAAAAGTAGACATTCAAAAAAGCAAATTCTCTTAATAAGTTTGTATCATAATCTTTATGTCAATTACATAAGGATTAAGGGTTTTACCTCTGCTTCCTGCTTCGTGGTAACTTTGGTGGTTCTTCATATGGATTTTGAAATAGATCTAAAAAAATTGGCTCAAATTTTTTGAAAATTACAGTTGACACCTCAAAATTTCTCTCTAGCCTTTCTATACGTTCACGAAATTCTTGTGGCAGGTTTGACATGTCCATCCATTTCTTCATTTTACTAAAAAACTGTATTAAACTAAAAAAAAGGAGAAAAAAGGCAACTTTAAAATTTATTCACATAATGGACTAAAAAGGAAACATTCTATTCATGACTAAGACTCTTCATCAAAACCTAAATTTAGGCCAGGTGCAGTAGTACACGCCTGTAATCCCAGCTACTTGGGAGGCAGGAGAGGACCACTTGAGCCCAGGAGTTTGGGCTAGTGCACTACAATTGTGCCTGTGAATAGCAATACAGTGAGATCTCATCTCAAAAAACCCCCCCAAACACACACACATACATATATAACAACACATACATAGCCTGAATCTATTAAAATACAACAAAAAACCTTACTCCCAAGTGCTATGAAATGATTTTGGTTCCCAGGATCACTATGGGGATGTAGAGTTTGAATTAGTGGTCATCAGATAAAGTGTCTTCAATGCAGACACTTTGTGTGCATTTACTTACTTCTTTTATTCCCTATAGCACCTAGATGGTATTCTGCATAAAAAAATTAAAAAGTAAATGTCAGTTAGCAGATTGACAGGTCACAAAATTAGCTTGAGGAAAAACAGAAGTCTCCCTAATGGAAAGACTTTTTCCCATTTTCCAAATATGAAGCCGATCACAATGCACCAGATTGCTACAAGTTAGGAGTAAAAATCAAGTGTTTGAGTTCCAATGTGTGGTTCTACCACCAAAAGGAAAGAGGTTAGTATATACCAGAAAATCACTTAATAGATTATTATTCTACCTGCCTGGCTTATTCAATTATAGGTATATTCTTTATGTCTCTACGTTAGTGTGGTCTTAGATTGAAAACGTGTAGTGTCAAAGTTCACTTTATTGTCTAGTAATATATACAGAATAATACTTGTAATTTTTTTTAAAGGTAATGAAACACATTATCCCCTAATTGTCCATAGATATTCAAACTCTGGACATATTGATTAAAATCTGAGATTCTATGAGTCCCATTAAAAGATTAAAAGATCAATGGCAGCAAAAATTTGCCAGATTACTAAGTATTTTTTAGCTCACAAAGAGGACTTGTTTTCTCTTTTGGATGATCAGCATGTGAAACCCTTTGTTTTGAGGATATTCCCACTTTTGAGTCTTATCTTCACTAGACAAATCAGCTTTATCAGAAGTTAGGATGAAGGCATATAACCTGAGTTCCTTTATCAGATGCATCTGCTCAGAAATTTGAATCTGAAGCTGGTGGTGCAAGAAGTGAGGAAGTGGTAAATTCTTATAGCAGGATCAATAGCAATATTCAACTCCTAGGGGCAAATAAAAAGCAATATCCAGGGACAGCCTTGCTAGCCATGCAAGCTGTGTCCTCACTACACGGATTCTGTGATATGTCTTCTTGGCTGTGTGGCCAGCCTCCTTTTGTTCCTGCCCCTTTTCCAAGCCAAGTTTCTTAAGTCATCCTGAAGACTTTTTTTTTTTTTGAAACAGAGTCCCGCTTTGTTGCCCAGGCTAGAGTGAGTGCCCTGGCGTCAACCTAGCTCACAGCAACCTCAAACTCTTGGGCTCAGGCAATCCTCCGGCGCCAGCCTCCCGAGTAGCTGGGACTACAGACATATGCCACCATGCCCGGCCAATTTTTTCTATATATAGTTTTAGTTGTCCAGCTAATTTCTTTCTATTTTTTTAGTAGAGATGGGGTCTCGCTCTTGCTCAGGCTGGTCTCGAACTCTTGAGCTCAAGCAATCCTCCCACCTCGGCCTCCCAGAGTGCTAGGATTACAGGTTCACACCTAGCCACCACACCCAGCCAATCCTGAATATTTTATTAGCTATCCTTCTTTTCTTTTCTTCCTAAGTTAGCCAAAGTTGGTAATTGATATCTGTGTTTTGTAAACAAGAGCCTTGACTACTACATTCTCATATAATCTGTTGTACATACTCCTCTCCCCAAAATAGCTGTCCTAACCTGGAACAAAATACATCAAAGTATCTGAAAACACACAAAAAATTATAGTACTGTTATCATTTAAATTATGATTATGATTTTTAAAACTAAAACAAGAAGTAAACTTCACAGCTTTCAATATTCACTGGGATTCTGTTATAAAAAACACACAACTCAAGCTAGGCTCAGTGGCACACATCTGTGGTCCCAGTTACTTGGAAGTCTGATATGGGAGGATCTCCTGAGCTCAGGAATTCAAGACTAGTCTGGGAAATGTAATGAGACCCCATCGTATAAAAGAAAAACATTTAAAGTATTAAAAAAAGAGAGACAGAATACACTAATAAGTACATAAAAGATGTTCAATATCATTGGCCATAAGGGAAATGCAATCACCTACTAGGATGCCTATAATAAAAAGACAGATAATAAAAAGTATTGGCAAGAAAAAAAAAAAAAAGTATTGGCAAGAATGTGCAGAAACTAGTACCCTCATAAACTGCAGGTAGGAATGTAAACGAGTAAGATCACTTTGGAAAACAGTCTGACAGTTCTTCAAAAGCTTAAACATAAGATTCACTATATAATCCAGCAATTCCACTCCCATGTACATATCCAAGAGAAATAAAAATTTGTCAACACAAAAAGCTGTACACAAATGTTTACAGTAGCACTAGTCACATTAGCCAAATGGTGGAAATAATCCAAATGTTCACTGATTGATAAATGGATAAGCAAAATGTATACCATATCCATGCAATGGAATGTTATCTGACCATATAAAGAACTGCTGATATCATGCTATATCTCATAGAATCTCAGATTTTAATCAATATGTCCAGAGTTTGAATATCTATGGACAATTAGGGGATAATGTGTTTCATTACCTTTAAAAAAAATTACAAGTATTATTCTGTATATATTACTAGACAATAAAGTGAACTTTGACACTACACGTTTTCAATCTAAGACCACACTAACGTAGAGACATAAAGAATATACCTATAATTGAATAAGCCAGGCAGGTAGAATAATAATCTATTAAGTGATTTTCTGGTATATACTAACCTCTTTCCTTTTGGTGGTAGAACCACACATTGGAACTCAAACACTTGATTTTTGGATGAACCTTGAAAACATTATGCTAAGTGAAAGAAGCCAACACAAAAGACCACATACTGTATGATTCCATTTATATGAAATGCCCAGAACAGACAAATCTATAGGGATAGAAATAAGATTAGTAGCTGCCAGGAACTGAGTGTGGGAGTGGGGATATAAATGAATGCCAATGGGCATGGGGTTTCTTTTTGGGGTGATGAAAATGTCCTAAAATTGATTGAGGTGATGGTTGCACAAGTTTGTAAATATATTAAAAACCACTGAACTAGCCAGGCTCAGTGACTTGCTCCTATAATCCCAGCACTTTGGGAAGCCAAGGTAAGAGGATTGCTTGAAGCCAGGAGTTCGAGACCATCCTGGGCAACACAGTGAGAACCTGTCTCTACAAAAAATAAAAATATGTGAATGTGGTTTCTCTTTCTCACAATATCTTTTTGTACTGTACTCACCCTTCTTCTTCTTATGATCTGATGATCTGATAACTGAGACAGCTACCAAGTGACTAATGAGGCAAGTAGAATATACTGTGGATACATCGGACAAAGAGATGATCCATATCCCAGGCAGGATGGAGAGGATGGCATAAGATTTCATCATACTACTCAAAATAGCATGCAATTTAAAACTTATGAGTTGTTTGTTTATGAAATTTTCCATATAATATCTTCAGATTGAGGCTGATCAGGGGTAAATGAAAAAGTGAAACCTTGAATAAGGAAGGATTACTGCACCTACAATATTCTGCACTTTGCTTTTTCCTCTAATTTATCTTGGACATCTTTTTATATCATTGAAACCTTTTCCATCATTTTAAGAGCTACAGTTTATTCTATTGTATGAATGTACCATAAGTGTACTTAGCCACTCCTTTTATCCCTTATTTAAACTTTATTTTGAAATAACATCAAATCTATAGAAAAGTTGCAAAGATAGCTCAAGACCTCCTTTATATCTTTCATCCGTGCTCACCAGTTAACATTTTTCATATTTCCTTTATCATCTATCTCTATATATACATGCATACTGTAAACACATATATGTGGTGGTAAATTTTATGTGTCAATTTGGCTGGGCCACAGTGCCCAGATATTTAGTCAAAAATTCTGCACGTTTTTGTGAAGACGTTTATTCAATGAAATTAACATTTAGATTGGTGAACTTGAGTAAAGCAGATTATCCTCCATAATGTGGGTAGACCTCATCTAATCAGTTGAAAGTGTTAACAAAGACTAACCTCCCCTGAGTAAGAATGAATTCTGTCAGCAGACTACTGCCTTTGGACTCGAACTGCAACTCTTCCCTGGGCGTCTAGCCTACTGGCCTACCCAATCAGACTTTGGACTCTTTAAGCCTCCATAATCGTGTGAGCCAATTCCTTTAAATAAATCTCTCTATATATATATCCTGTTCATTCTGTTTCTCTGGAGAACCCTAGCTATTACAATATATATATAATTTATTCTGAACCATTTGAGAGTAAGGTTTGGATATCATGCCCTTTACCTATAAACACTTCAGTTTTTATTTATTTATTTTTTTGAGACAGAGTCTCACTTTGTTGCCTAGGCTAGAGTGAGTACCGAGGCATCAGCCTAGCTCACAGCAACCTCAAACTCTTGGGCTCAAGCAATCCTCCTGCCTCAGCCTCCCGAGTAGCTGGGACTACAGGCATGCGCCACCATGCCTGGCTAATTTTTTCTATATATATTAGTTGGCCAATTAATTTCTTTCTATTTATAGTAGAGACGGGGTCTCGCTCTTGTTCAGGCTAGTTTCCAACTCCTGACCTTGAGCAATCCGCCCGCCTCGGCCTCCCAGGGAGCTAGGATTACAGGCGTGAGCCACTGCGCCCGGCCTCAGTTTTTATTTTTTGAGAAAAAGGACATTCTCTTACATAATCAAGAGTATAATTATAAAAAACAGAAAATTTTACACTGATAAAATACTATCAGTCCATATTTAAATTTAAATTTAAAATTTGCCAATTATCCAAATGATATTCTTTATAGCAACTTTTAATTTCTTGATCTAGACATTTTAGAATAGGCCAGTTATTTTGTAGTATATCTGTAAGTTGGGTTTGTCTCATGTATCCCTTATTAGAATTAGGCTTTCTCTCTCTCTGTATATATACATACATATGTATATACATATATATGCATATATAAAAAGATATATATATATTTATTTATTTATATTTTTTTAAGACAGGGTTTCACTGTGTCACCCAGGATGGAGTGCAGTGGTGTGATCATAGCACACTGCAGCCTCAAACTTCTGGGCCCAAGTGATCCTCCCACCTCAGCCACACTAGCAGCTAGGACTACAGGTGCATGCCACCATGCATGGCTACTTTAAAAAAAATTTTTTTTTTTGTAGAGACGAGGTCTCACTACATTGCCCAGGCTGGTCTTGAACTCCTGGCCTCAAGCAGTCCTCTTGCCTCAGCCTCCGAAAGTGCTGGGATTACAGGCATAAGCTATTGCACCAGCCAGTAGTTTTAATTTTAGTGATTCCAAGTTAGAAAAGTGGAAGAAAAATTTGAAAACATCAGTTTGGAGACTTGTAACCAGGAAAAAAATTCAGGATTTAGTCCAAAATGTAGGAAAATAATACAAACTCAAAAACAATGATCATGGCTGGAATTTAACAACAGGCATGCTATAATCTTTTTTGAAACATAATCTTTTTCTTTCCAGTTTCCCATTTTTACTGAAGATAAACCTTAGTAGGACCAATTTACTTGCAAAATAAGTTTTAGTATTATATTTGGCCTGATTATTTTCATAAAATGCAGCAAGAATAGCAAGTGGCCATAAAGGCTCTTTTATGTTGGCTTTGCTGGAACATTCATAAGTAATTTTGGATGAGACTTTTAAAAAACTCAAGGTTAGGAAGTCGAACTCAGGATTCACTATCAGACTGTGCACTGTAATACCTATACGAATGAAGAGTGAATCCACTGAATGAATGAATGAGTGAATTCCTCTCTTCTTGAGGTGCCCAAATATCTTGAGGTTCCTGGGCATGTCAAAAAGTGACATTTTTTTTTACTTACCACAAAGTCAAGTACCTTGTAAGGAAACCAAGTAGACAAGGAACCAGGCCAGCCTTCCGCCTCCACCCCCCACCCCTACCAGCTAGAGAGCCTAGCCAGGCCAGTCTTTACAAAGGGCTTTTTTTTTTATCAGCTCTATAAAGTCAACCTCAACTTTTTTTTTCTTTTCTCTTTTTTGTGAGACAGTCTCTTGCTTTGTTGCCCAGGCTACAGTGAGTGCCGTGGCATCAGCCTAGCTCACAGCAACCTCAAACTCCTGGGCTCAATCGATCCTGCTGCCTCAGCCTCCCGAGTAACTGGGACTACAGGCATACACCACCATGCTTGGCTAATTTTTTCTATATATATTAGTTGGCCAATTAATTTCTTTCTATTTATAGTAGAGGCGGGTCTCACTCTTGCTCAGGCTGGTTTCGAACTCCTGACCTCGAGCAATCCACCCACCTCGGCCTCCCAGAGTGCTAGGATTATAGGCATGAGCCACCGCGCCTGGCCAACCTCAACTTTTTATAGCAGTCTGGTCATATCTCAAAATATATCACTTCAGTTAAAGCCTTGTAAAATAACTAGTGTCTATTAGAGACCTGTCAAGTGTCTCCTTAAAAGCAGAGCTTCAATTCTAGCTCCCCAGAACACGGAATCAAGTTGCTGGAATGAAGTCTGAATCTCAAACCAAAATTAGGAAGATTCTAACCCTAAGAAGAGACTTGCCAGAGACCCCTGATGACTCCGTGAGGTCAGGTGAACAAAAATCATTTGTGTTGGTACCAAGACCCCAATTGTTGGCAAACAGAGGCTCACTTCAGGTCCCTTTGTGGTCACCAAAATGTCAACTGGCCAGGAGCCACAGACAGCAGCAGCCAGCAGAGGACAGTAGTGAGCATGTGCATCTCCATGCCTGGCTGGTCCTTGAGGCCAACCCAAGGTCACCAGGACACAAGGCTAAGAAGCAGTACAAGGGCCTGGGCACCAGTGCCAAGGTGGGTCACTATATATGCTGTACTCCTTGACCAGAAACCCCAGGGACCCATGTGCCTCTTTCTCCTCCTTGGGCTATGTTCCACCACACCCCGCCAGTGCCAATGGCTGGGCCCCACGTGGGCAGTAGCCTTGCCCGTTAGTGGAGTGCAGCGTGGCTTGCTGAGGCTGAGCTAGGCCAGATGGCAGCTCAGCAGCCATTGTTTAATGGGTATGCGCTGGGCGAGGTAGCTCACGCCTGTAATCCTAGCTCTCTGGGAGGCCGAGGCGGGCGGATTGCTCAAGGTCAGGAGTTTGAAACCAGCCTGAGCAAGAGCGAGACCAAGTCTCTACTATAAATAGAAAGACATTAATTGGCCAATATATATAGAAAAAAATTAGCCGGGCATGATGGTGCATGCCTGTAGTCCCAGCTACTCGGGAGGCTGAGGCAGAAGGATTGCTTAAGCCCAGGAGTTTGAGGTTGCTGTGAGCTAGGCTGATGCCACGGCACTCACTCTAGCCTAGTCAACAAAGCGAGACTGTGTCTCAAAAAAAAAAAAAAAAAAAATCGGTATGGAGTGTCAGTTTGGGAAGATGTGAAAGTTCTGGACATGGATAGTAGTGATGGTTGCATAACAATGTGAAGGTACATAATGCCAATGATCTACACACTTAAAAATGGTTAAAAATGGTGAATCTTATGTTTTATATATTTTACCACACACATATACAGAGTACAGTTGGCTCTCTGTCCCCATGGGTTCCACATCTGTGGATTTTACCAACCATAAATAAAAATATTTGGGAAAAAAACGGATGCTTGCATCTGTACTGAACATGTACAGATTTTTTTTCTGGTCATTATTCCCTAAACAATATAGTATAACAACTAACATTGCATTAGCTATTACAAGTAATCTAAAGATCATTTAGGCCGGGCGCAGTGGCTCATGCCTGTAATCCTAGCACTCTGGGAGGTCGAGGCAGGCATATTGCTCGAGGTCTGGAATTAGAAACCAGCTCTGAGCGAGAGTGAGACTCCGTCTCTACTATAAATAGAAAGAAATTAGCTGGACAACTAATATATATAGAAAAAATTAGCCGGGCATGGTGGCACATGTCTGTAGTCCCAGCTACTCGGGAGGCTGAGGCAGGGACTGCTTGAGCCCAGGAGTTTGAGGTTGCTGTGAGCTAGGCTGATGCCACGGTACTCACTCTAGCCTGGGCAATGAAGCGAGACTCTGTCTCAAAAAAAATTAAAAAAAAAAATAAAGTATATGGGCTAGATGCAGTGGGGCATGCCTATAGCCCCAGCTATGCAGGAGGTTGAGGCAGGAGGATTGTTTGAGACCAGGAGTTCAAGGCTGTAGTGCTCAATGATCACTCCTGTAAATAGCCACTGCATTCCAACCTGGGCAACATAGTGAGACCTCATGAAAGAAAGGAAAGAAAGAAAGAACGTAGGAGGATCTGCATAGATTACATGTAAATACTACACCATTTTATATAAGGGACTTGACCATCCATAGATTTTGGTATCTGCAGGGGTAAGGAGAGTCCTGAAACTAGTCTCCAATGGGTATTTAGGGACAATTATATAGGGTAGCAATAGTAAATATGTGACTTATGTTCCAAAAGCAGCACACTACTGATTTTTAATGGCACTCAAGAGATAAAGAAAATTACTTTGTAACAAATTAACATCATCAACTGCTCCAAATAAAATATATGAAAAAGTTTTTCATAAACTAAATTTTCTTTTACGTTTTATTATAATACAAAAATAATTACTGAATGAATAAACAAGTGTCAATTTGATTTAAATCACAAGGTACTGACTTGTGAAAAGGAGGAAAAATTAATTTGCAAAACTTAAAACAGGGCTGGGCATGGTGGCTCACGTCTATAATCCTGGCACTTTGGGAGGCCGATGCAAGAGGATCACTTGGGGCCAAGAGTTTGAGATCAGCCTGAGCAACACAGTAGCTGGGACTACAAGCACCCGTCACCATGCCCAGCTAATTTCTGCTATTTTTAGTACAGACAGGGTCTCACTCTTCTTCAGGATGGTCTCAAACTCCTGAGCCCAAGCTATCCCCCCAGAGTGCTAGGATTACGGGTGTGAGCCACTGTGCCTGGCCCGTCCTTTTCTTATTTTTGCAACTTTTCTGTAAACCTGAAATTATTTCCAGATTTAAAAAATTTAAAATATTAAAATTTAGCACAGAGGCCTCTGGCTTAAGTCACAATTTGAGGAAGAAAGGAAGAGGAAGAATGTGAGAATTGGGAAAGGATACCCATGTAATAACAAACTTAGAATTAAATGAAGTAAAATGATTTAAAATAAAGAGAAATTCAATTCTAAATTTAAATTTAGGGCTTATAAAACAACATCAGAAAAATCAAAGTGCTTTACCTTAATTTTGCTGAACGTAGTATTCTGGTAAGTGAAACACAGTTTCCTTCCATGATACCCTTTCCAACTGTGGGAATAATGCTTTTGCGACATGCAACATATAATGAACATGCCAACCAGTGTATAACTTCTCCCTGGCAGGCAAAAGACAAACAGCAAAATGGATATATTGTTATGTTTAAATGCCTGAATTCTAAAAGCAGAAGATATTTTAGAATTATCTCAATCCTCCTTTCATAGATAAAGGGCTAGAGAAATGAAGATATTTGCCCAAGGTCACAAAGCTAAGTTAGTTGCAATAATGGGTATAAAAATATTTACCTTAGTCCTGTGTTCTTATAACTATACCATGTTAAAACAGTATTAATCTAAAGATAGATCTTTCACTTACACCTCAAATCTAATACAGTCATGTACCACATAACATTTTGGTCAATGATGACCTCATATACAATGGTAGTCCCTTCAGATTATATTTTTACTGTACCTTTTCTGTTTAGGTAAGTCTTGATACACAAATACTTACCATTGTTTAACAGTTACCTATAGTATTTAGTATAGAAAATATTGAACAGGTTTGTAGCCTAGGAGCAACAGGTTATATCCTATAGCCTAAATATGTAGTAAGTTTGTGTAATTATACTCTATGATGCTCAAACAATGACGAAATTGCCTAATGGAATGTATCCCCATCATTAACCGAAGCATGACTATATGACTGAAAGAGTTAGCATTACTTAAAACTTGTCACCATTACTTTCACAATTTTTTTTTTTTTTTTTTGAGACAGAGTCTCACTTTGTTGCCCAGGCTAGAGTGAGTGCCGTGGCATCAGCCTGGCTCACAGCAACCTCAAACTCCTGGGCTCAGCAATCCTACTGCCTCAGCCTCCCAAGTAGCTGGGACTACAGGCATGTGCCACCATGCCCGGCTAATTTTTTGTATATATATATTTTTAGTTGGCCAATTAATTTCTTTCTATTTTTGGTAGAGACGAGGTCTCACTCAGGCTGGTTTCGAACTCCTGACCTTGAGCAATCCGCCCGTCTCGGCCTCCCAAAGTGCTAGGATTACAGGCGTGAGCCACTGCGCCCGGCCTTACTTTCACAATTTTAAAACACCAGTCATGGCCTTGATAATGCTGAAGTTCCACTTAATTTTCTGCATTAGACTTTATATCTCCAAGCTAGAATCACTTTATGACTCAATTGCCGAAATACTCCAGTTTTAGGATTAAGAATTACAGATGCAAATCTCAGAGCACAACATAATACTGCTCCTATTCACTGTTCTGCAGATCTTCTTTAAGACCAGATTCTAGAAGGATAAAAAGATTTACCGGTGGGCAGAAATGGGTGGCCATCAATAAAACTAAAACTCACTCCTAAAGGAGAAGTCTTATTTGCTAAAAGCACTAAATGAGGCAGGTAAGCTTAAAGACATATTTTTAGAAGCCTTACTATTGAATTATTTGGGAATAGCATCCAAGTACTATAGAGCCTTTGGAGACAGGCTACTGACCGAAAATGCTATTATAGCAAGATGGAAAAAAATATAAGTACTAGAATTATTTTGATTTTTTTCCTAAAAAAAGTCAACTATATATTATTTATTCTATTTCCTAGGCATCAATGCTAGGCCTTAGCAATACAAAAATGATTTCTGATCTCACTGATCAAGTCTGGAGCTACAAAGAACAGATACTATTATCTATAATTGGTAAGAGATAAACTATAAGAAAAGCTGAAGACAAAGTGTTGTGGGAGAATATAGTGTAGTGAGTAACTGATTTTGTCTGAGGGTCAGGGAAGGCTTCACAGAGGAAAACTTAAAATTGGTAAATGGTAAATCACCAAAAAATGTAAGCAGGAGTTTATAAGGCAGGCTAGATAGGTAGGGTTTAGGGCAGAGGGGGATTGGTTCTTGGGAAGCCACCGAGATATATATGAAAGTGCCTACTCCAAGTGCCTTTCACCAAAAACTGAAAGGGGGAGGTAAGAGGAGGAAAATAAAACACTGGATAGAATAAACATTCACAAAAATCTCAGCTCATACATCCAGTGCTTTCTAAAGCAAACATTTAAGATACCCTGACCAACTCTGCCTAACTAGAGATTTAGCTCTTCAACCTCCCCTAGAGTTGGGGGGTGAGAGGAAAGGTTCCCGGCAGAGGGAATGGCATGGAGAAGCAGACAACTGGGAATAAGCTTGTCATATTCAAGAATCTGACAGGTGCCTAGTTGAGTGCCTTAACCACAGTTTGCATACAGTAAATGCTTATTAAATGAGAGACCAAAAGATGACCTAGGATGTCAGAAATGTTTTCTCAGGCTTTCAAAAATCAATCTGTTTTGAACTGAGAGGCCATTGATTCATAATCTCCCTTACTTTCTTATTTTGCCTTCAGCTTTCCAGGCATGCTACCCACAGATGCAGATCATTCATTGTCCTTTTCCAGTCTATGTAGTCCTGTCCTGGAGACATACAAGAGCCTTTCTCAGGTACTTTTCCCTCATATACAGACACACATACAGTTGACTCCACATTTCCAACTTTATGCTTTTGAACTCAGCAATTAATTATTTCACTGGAGGGTGAGTCAGTGGAGCACCTTGTCCATGGGCTGAGCCCTCTTGGCTCATAAACGCCCTTGAACAGAAGGTGGTTGGAGTGATAAGCTGAAATACATTCCACCACAATTCGGTCTCTACAATGGGCTTACGCTTGTCTGGGTTTCCACATTGGAATAACCCTGGGCAAGACAACCCTCAGAGCCTTGATACCCTGGAAAGCAGGTATAATACTGACTGCCACGCCATGTTCACAGGGCTGTCGTGAGGACAGAGTGTAACAGTGAGAGGGAAAACCTAATAATGATAACCGACATTTATTTTATTCAGAGCCAGACACTTTGCTGGCTTTGGCAGGACCATGATCTGACAGAGGAGGAACGTGGGGTGGAGAGATCAGCTTTGTGTGAACATCAGCTTTGATCCAGCTACTGTACAGTGAGGAGTGCTGTGCTACAAAGTGAGCGGCCCACGCCTCCACCCTAGTGAGGCAGGAGATGGAGAGAGGTTCAATGGCTCAGACTCCTGCTGGCTCCATCACTAACCTGTGACCGTGGGCAAGTTGCTTAACCTCTTTGGGGCTCCACTTCCTGTTCCGTAGAACGGGGAGAACAGAACATGTTCAGAGAGAACTGAGATGGTATATTTAAAGCTCTGAGCAGTGGTGTCTTGGCACGCAATTCATTTTCGTTTTTACCATTATATTGGTTTTCATTGATGTTAAGGCGGCACCATGTAGTCTGTGGCGCTTGGCGGGGCGGAGGGAGGTATGGTCTGGAAGCCTGGAGTCTGGAGTCCCCTTGACTGGCGCGGGACCTAGGGCAAGCTGCTCCTTTTCTAGGGTTTAGTTTCCCGCCTCAAAAAAAATGGGTGGACTGCCGGTGCTACACCCACCCTTCCCGCCCCGCACTGCTCGGCGCCCGGCAGGGCAGCGAGCCTCCTCGGTGGGGAAACTCCCACCGCCCCATAGGCTGGGGTAGGGGCGGGGCGGGGGTGGGGCCTGGAGGGGGTCTGTCCAGCCGCCCACCTGCCGCCGCTCACCTCTAGGCTGTAGTTGCCCCGGATGGCGGTGAAGTTGTCCAGGGCTTCGGCCGCGCTCCCCTCGTCCAGGTTCAGCTCCTGGCACAGGGCCTGCAGCGCCTCCCCTGCCGCGGCGACCACCACCGCCCCCTCGGTAGGGGGCTCGTCCTCGAACATCCCCTCAGGCCCTGCGGGCGGCGCGCCACAGCCCCCAACTTCTTTCTCCCTCCCGGGCGCACTACCCACAACCACCCGCGCCAAAGCGCGCGAAAATCGGGGACTTCAGAGCTCCATTTATTCGTTCGTCTGCCTCCGCTTTTCTCCTCAAAAAAAAAAGTCCGATCTTCCTCTGGAGCTCCCAGCCGTCCCTCTTCAGAAATATGACGAGAACACTGGCCTTGGATCCTGGAAAAACCTGGCCTTGGCCCTTGGCGGGCTGTGGGGAGAGGGGTCCCAGACGGCGGGGCAAATGGGGTGCGGAGGGATCCACAGATTGCGCGCAGAGTCTGCCGGGAGTTGAAGTCCATCTGGGCGTCGCTCTTGTCTCTCTGGTTAGGCTCCTTGGTTTAGGCAGGGCTAGGCTTACAGGAAGGCGGCCTCGTTCATTGCAGTGGGAAGTCCCCTTTATCCTGCCAGCTCATGGGCCGTGGGTTTGTCCCTGCCTCGGGGCGTCAAACATAGTCTGACTGAGCTGTGCCCCTTGAGTTAGGAATGGAAGCGGGAACAAAAAAAAAGCAGTCCCAGGTGGTGGCGGGAGCCTCAGGATTCTCCCCAGAACCCAGTGAGTGGTTCGCTGAATGACCGATTTGAAGGCCTGGTGAGGGATATTGGGGGACACCTCTCCATCTCATTTTAATCGCTAAAAGAGGGCGGCTGGGAGGACTGCAATAAGGGGCCCTTTCTCAGTTCCCTGGACTTGGAACCGTCTCAGTAAACACAATTATTTCCACCTTAAACGAATAGTCTGAGCATTAATCTGAAGCTGGAGCGACCTTTTTAAAAGGTAAATCAGAACATGTCACTCCTTCACTTGACCCCTCTTGCCTTAAATAAATAAAGCCAAACTCCATACTCCTTTCTATGGCCTACAAGCCACTACGTGATCTGGCTCCACCTCATCTAGTGCATTTAACACCCCTCAGGTATATAATAAGGTTCAATCTCACTGCTTTGTTTTGAAACCTTGAAAATGCCAAGGTAGTGCTTCCCTCAAGGCCTTTCTCACATCTTGATTAAAACTGCCCAAAATGGTCTTCACCAGATCTTTGGCTCACCCATATCATCAAGTTCAACTAAAAGTCACCACCTCAGGCCATCCCTGTGCACTGTATCTAAAATATCTGATTCCTCCCTCCAACATCCCACTTCATTGTCTCCATAGCACCTTATCACTATCTGAAATTATCTTTTTTCTTTTCTTTTTTTTTTTTTTGAGACAGAGTCTCACTCTGTTGCCCAGGCTAGAGTGCAGTGGTGTCAGCCTAGCTCACAGCAACCTCAAACTCCTGGGCTCAAACAGTCCTTCTGCCTCAGCCTCCGGAGTAGCTGAGACTACCGACATGTGCCACCATGTCTGGCTAATTTTTTCTATATACATTTTTAGTTGCCCAGCTAATTTCTATTTTTAGTAGAGATGGGGTCTCACTCTTGCTCAGGCTGGTCTCGAACTCCTGAGCTCAAACAGTCCACCCACCTTAGCCTCCCAGCATGCTAGGATTTCAGGTGTAAGCCACCACGCCTGGCCCGGAAATTATCTTGTTTATTGACTGGCTCTTTTTACTAAAATGTGAGTTGCATGAAAATGGAGATCTTCCTTCTGTGTTCACTGTATTCCAAAGTTTAGATTAGTGCCTGGCACATAGCACTTGGTACTTAGCATGGTGTGTTTGAAAAATGACAAAGAGCCCATTGTTGCTTGGATGAGGGAAGAAGTCAACAGAGAATAAAATGGAAGACAGGTCAAGGTAGGTTGTGAAGGGCCTCATATGCCCCATTAAGAGCCTGGGCATTATCCTCAAGGCTGGGGAGGTGATGATCAGACTGTATTTTGGACAGGCACCTCTGGCTGTAGTGTCACAGGCACAGGATTGGATGGGATGGTGACTAGAGGCGTGTGTGGGGGGGGGGGGGCTGGTCCAGCATAGGAAGGAGCCAGCCTGAGGATATAAGTCTCAGTCCTAGAACAGAAGAGGGGACTGCTTAAGATGGAGGAGTCCCCAATAACATAGGTTTCCATCAACCAAGAGGGTGAAAGGTGATACTGTTTGCTGGGATAGAGTACAAGCAGAGAGATGGAATCAATTTTGGAGCCGTTGAGTTTGGGATGGTTGCAGGAAGTTTAAGGGGAGGCTGTTGGGTCGCTTCTTGGAAATTTCTCAATCTTTTACATTCTCCACACTAGAGAGGGTTAGGACACAGGAACCAAGTGAGCAAAAACTCAAAAGTTTCCCCCAAAACTCAAACTCAAACTGATCCACCCATATGGTACTTCCAACTCATCTTCCTGCTAAAGGTATGGTTGCAGCTGACTTCAGGACAATCTTTTTGTTCTCTAGAGGGGATGTCAGCACAAAAGTCTGCTCACAGAATCTCTGCCCATGAATATTTACTTAGAGGACTGGTTATGGGCATTGGGAGGAGGTCTATCTCCAGTGCCAACGGGCTCATAACAGGTTAGCATCCCTCCCCCTAACTTCCTTTGCTGCCAACAAAGATGTGTCAGGATTAGTGGAGGTGAAATGGATGAAGGTCCTCTTGTAGTGGTTCATTTGTCTTTTAGTTAACCTACTTATGCCTATTTAAGAGAGCTTTCAGTTCAGCAGAGAGGTCCAGGAGTGGGGGCAGCCTGAATATGATGATTTGGAAATGTCCGGGTGGTACCTGAAGCTAGGGGAGCAGGTTGACATCACTCAGGGAATGTGTTGGCATGAGAAGAGACCCAAAGATAGAACTTTTAGGGACATAAATATTTAAGAGATGGCAGAATTAGAGAATGAATATAAAAGACTGGCCAGAGAAGTATAAAAACAAGAAGTGGTATCTTAGAGTGCAGGAAAGAACTTCATAGAGACCAATAGAGACCATAGAGATCAACTCTGCAGGGAATCCAAGTAAGTTGAAAAATTCACAGAAGACCTCATATATTATCTTTCTCTCTCTCTCTCTCTCTCTCTCTCTCTCTCTCTCTCTCTCTCTCTCTCTCTCTCTCTCCTCTCTTTTGAGACATGCGAGTCCTCCATTGTTTTGCAGGCCTAGAGTCCTGTGGCGTCAGCCTAGCTCACAGCAACCCAAACTCTTGTGCCAGGCAATCCTTCCCACTGCCTCAGCAGCCTCCTGATACCTGGGACTCAGGCATGGCCACCATGCCCGGTAATTTTCTTAACTTTAGTTGCCAGCTAATTCTTCTATTTTTCAGTAGAGACGGGGTCCACTCCTTGCCTCAGGCTGTCTGGAACTCCTGACCCAAACGATTCCCCCTGCCCTTGCCTCTCAGATGCTAGGATTACAGGCGTGAGCCACGACCGCACCAGCCTTCTCTTCTGCTTCTTGGCAGGCTGAGATTTGTTACACACTCCTTAGCACTGTGATTCGTATTTCTTGCCTCATATATTACTCATTCCTTTCTTTATGACCTTTGGCCAGAGTATCTTCATAACTGTGGGAGTGGAACGCCTATTATTGATGCTGACGGCTAAGGGAGAAGTCAGAAAGTTGAAGCCAGGAAGATAAAACTCATTCTTTAACGAAGTTTGATAGAGAGGCTAGGATGGGGTTACTGGTAGGGAAAAAGCAAGTATGATAATCCAGAGCAGGAACAGGCCAGAGAAGACTCGACAGATTAAAAAAAACTGATGGCTGTACGCCCAGGCTCTGGGGAAACGGCTAGCCTGGGAATCTGAAGCCTGGCTTTCCTCATAGCTTCTTCTGGAAGCTCATCATATCAGATAAACAACTGCAGGTGCTTGCCTGAATGAAAAATAGAAACATGCATAGGAGCTGAGATGCTGAAGGATCTGCAACACTGTTGAAAATACAATGCGGTCTGTCAGTGCAAGATCAGGTCAGCCTTTTGAGGAGTAAAAGTAAGTTAGGCCTTCTGATTTCAAGATCTTCTTTAAGCACCAAAGGAGGCAAAAAAAAAAAAGCTTTCAATCTTTCTCGCTGCACCCCTTCTAATAAAGGATTGTTGCACAAATTTGGATAGTCAAAAGGCCCACGTGAGACTGAGAGCCACATTTTGCCTTAAGGCCGAAGTCCCACACCCCTGAGGGATCTGGCTTTCATAGCACTGGTCTGGATGAGATCATAAGAGTTAAGAAGCCTCATGAATTTCAAGTATAAGGCCAAAGAAAGCAGATAAAAGGAAACCAGCCTTTTAGAATTAAACCAAGAACCTAGAGACTCATTGTCTGATTCTCCATCTCTTTAATAGTTTTCAGTGAGTGTAGTCTATATACATCAGCCTGTTTCACTTATACCCCGGGTTGATTCTCCTGATACTTTTTCATGTCCAGATTCCACGTAATTCTGAAAACTTTCATTGTCCATCTCTGTTAACTGAACTGCTCAGTCTGCAAGGTACAGATCTTACTTTGCATCGACTTGTAAGACATTCAGACTGAACAAGGGACATTCTGGCTGAATGATCCACAGAACAAAGAACAGCTCTCCAACCAGGTTCTAGTAACAAACAAACACGAGAACATGCTTCCTTGCTTGGCCTACCACTGCGTTCTACTTTGGATTTTCTAATAAGTCATATCTGTCCCTCGTAAATCCTTCCATTTCATCTCCTATCTTTGCTGATTTTTTCTAACCTATCACTCC